AGAAGGAGTATTATATAGGGCCTTAGATTAGGTAGCTAAGGCTTACGTTTGTACTAGTACAACTTTGTAATAACTTGTACTTCCCCGTATTATATATTAGTAATTGAATAGGGTGTCGGAAGTCCCATTTTTAGCTATAGTCAACATTACTAATATAAGTTGTCCAAAACCTATGACATTTTTGGGGGCCTGCGGGGGCTGCTACTTTCTTTTTCTAGTTTTGATTTCTTCTTTCATTTTTTTCCACTTTGGGGGGGCTGCTTCCATCGCCAGCAACATTCATCTTTTTGGAAAAAAACGTCTGCGGTCTGCTCCTCTTTCTTTGTTGACCGAAACATTGATGTGTACTCTTTTTTTGAAAAAAAAATAAAAATTTTCTCGCCAAAAAATACTTCCCCGACTTATAATTATTATGTAGTTTGGATTTTTTATTTCTAGTTTAAATCATACTACTAAACATGAAATCTCAAAATGGACAATAATTTTAGGACGGAGAAAGTAAATTATGAATACAAAGAAGAAATGATACTATAAAGTTATCGGAACAATCTAGCAAAAACAAAAATATGTATATATAGTAGTTCAATTTTTTGAAAAATTAATTCGAAGATTATTAGTAGATTAATATAATGTCGTGGTTATGGTGACTATTACTTTAGGCTGTTTTGGTTATCGACTCAAAATTATTGTTATTTGGATCATACTATTTCTTAAAACTCTCGTTACATACATGAGAAACACATCTTACCTCACGGTGTGGAATAAAGCATATTCAATAATTGGATAAACTACAAACTCTAATACTCCCTCCGTCTCATAATTATTGTTCAGTTTGAATTTTCATTTCTAGTTTAATTTGTATTAAAAGTGAAATCTTAAACTGGACAATAATTTTGGGACAGAGGGAGTATATATCATGCTTACGGTAGTGAATATGTAAAAAGCATGTCATAATATTATTGGAAATGGAAAAAATTGTAACAGTAAAAATTAGGTTAGAAAATGCAGAAATTGTAATAAAGTGGCCACTTTCAAGATTGCAAGGCGTTGGATGCCAACATCAAGATTAGCAACATGATCAGTTGCTTTCAATGAAGTCAATAGCGTGTATCAGATTATTTTGTTCTCCAACCAATTAATTTTAAAGTCAGAAATTATAAAACACTTGTTTCAATTCACTTTGAAAAATAGATGCCGGTGATTGGTCGGTCTCAATTTATGAAAACTACATATATTAATATAATGCAAACAGAACAAATGAATTTTTCAATCATAAAATTCAGCTCGTTTTAAGAAATTTTTCTACTGATTTCGCTGAAATACCCTCGTCGTTCTAAGATAAAGAGTCATATGTGTTAAACTAAAACATATAAAAATAATTTTTTCCCCCGAAATGGAGAGATATTATGCAATGGCAATAAGGATCTTGACAATTTCGTGAAATGTATACTAATACTACTGGTAATAATAACAAATTTGATACCAAAAAAAAAAAAAACCCGTAGAGCATAAAAGCAGAACCTAGCTATAAGGGAAGAGATTTAAGATGAAAAGCTCGTAAGTTCTTGTTTTTTTTTTCCAAAAAAGGAAAAGAGAAAACAAAATAAAATATTAAACAAATAGCTAGTTGCAGAAAGATGGAAATAAAAGCCACCGAACTTTTGTAGCACTTTATTATTAATATATAAATGATGAAAGGGTAAAAGCAATAATTATTGAAAAGGAGACAATTGAGAGAAGGAAGAAGAAAGTCATGGGGAAACTGAAGAATATATAGAGAACATCATACGGTCTCGTTTTAACCTGAAACGGGGTGACATTAAGAATTTGTAAATACTGCGAAATCAGAACTCAAACTTGACTAACTCAATCGGGAAAAAGCAGAAGAAGACAACAGCAAGTTTTGACTCAATCAGTTGACCAAAAACAGATTAGTACTCCTTCCGTCCTATAATTATTGTCCAATTTGAGTTTTCATTTCTAGTTCAAATTGTACTAAAAGTGAAATCTCAAACTGAACAATAATTCTGAGACAGAGGGAGTAATAATCTAATGAAATATAATATGCAAATGGAAAGAAGAATCTGAATCTTGTTTCGCATCCATGAACAATTCTGGTATGTTTTTGGGTTTTCCTTCATAATAATAATAATAATAATAATAATAATAATAATAATAATAATAATAAGAAATGTGCAAGTTGGGGAGGAAGCAGGAGACGGTCAGACCTATAGAATCACCACCACAGAATGGCGTATAGTAATATCAACTTTTTTCGCCGGTATCGTCGAAAAAAAACAACTGTCTGTAAATATTATAGTACCACTTAATAATAATGTAGTAAATTATTACTCGAGTTGCCGCATCAATCCTGCACTAATCTCTATGCAAATAATGCTAAAAAAAATAAAAAATAAAAAATTCACACTTTAGGTCTTAGTTAAAATCTTGAGGAGATATATAATGTTGAACATCCTATGTGAAATTAATTTGACAATAATATGAGGAAATATAAGATCATTAATTCTCATAACAAATGGTGGTGTCATTCTATGGGCATTATAAGGGTTTAGAAATTAGAACAATGCAAAGAAAAAAAGAACAAACACACGACAATTGAAGCTAAGAACTTAAAAAATAAAATTGTCATAATAATTAATCTGTAGTCTCTCCACATGTATCGCATCAAATATCATCTCATTGCATTATCTATTTTTACTTTGTCATACATAAGTATTAAGGAAATAATGATGATTTTTTAAAAAAAATTTTGAGTATAATTTTTTTTCTCGCCCCTAATTAATAGTAGTAGTAAGACTATGCAAAAATTTCAAAATCAATTAAAAATTAGGTAGCTGTTGCGTTATTAAAAGTAAAAAAAAAGATAGAGTGAAACTGAAAAACTGTATTTAATACTGTATTGTATTAAAAATAAAGTGTAACATATATATATATATATATATATTTTACTACATTAGAAACAAAAACCACACTTAAGAGAAAGCACCACCATTTGCCATGTGGCATTTTCACATCATATTTTTAAAATAAATTTTTATTTCCACATCTCCTAAATTTAAAAAGCAAATGCAGTCTAAATTCACTTCCACCTCCTATTTTCGTCTAAACAAAAAAAAAAAAAAAATCACGGGTTTATAAAAAACCCAAAGCCTCATCCTCATCTCCACGACAATCGACTTCTTAATCAATCCCTTCTTCACAATTAAAAAAAAAAAACAAATTTCTCATCAATCATCAATTGAGAATATGTGGTGATATATACTCCTTTCCTATTAGCATGTTCAATCTTTTCATTAGTGATGATCAACTACATCTTAATCGGATAAGATTTTAACTTCAACAAATATTCTCTTTACCTCTTTATATAAACACAAAGGAAAAAAAAAAAATTCTCATTGATCTTGCTTCGGCCGTTGTGGTGGTGCCATTACAGGTATTAAAATTTAAATAATTTTATTTTCACAGATTATTGGTTTGACTTTTATTATTTTTTGTTTTTCCCGTTCAAGAATAGTGTTATTACTATTATTTTTTGCGTCTATCCGTTACAGCTACCGTAGCCGTTGTCAGGTAGTATGATATGATTTCTTATTTGGTTAGTTAACCTAGAATTTTTGTATGATTTTAGTTATGTTTGGATTGAATTGATTGATTGGGTTTTTGTTACAAAGTGTGGTTTTTTAAATTTGTTTTTTATGTTTCATTCAATTAGAGTGGTTTTCTTTTTTTAATTATGGAGTCTCAGTTTTTTTTTCGTACATGACCAATTATGAAGTGTGTTTTTTCTTTGTTTAATTGCTTTTGATTTTGTTTCATACTCCCAGTTGACCCATTATTATTATTATTATTATTATTATTATTATTTTATTTACAAATGGAGCACTTTTTTTTGTGTTCGGGGCTTCAAGAATATACTTTTTTGGATTTGGTTTTTGAACTTTTTTTAGTTCCTCATCATATAAATAGTTTAGGTCGCTTCTTTTAACTAATTTATGGGAAATCCTTCTATGAATTTGAGGTGGAAAGGGAAGGAATGATGTTTCTACGTTTATTTGTATTTTTATATATAATTTTTACCTACAGAAAAAAATTAAAAATTCTCAAATTTTAATGGGCTATCTTTTACTTTTTTTTTATTTATTTATTTGCCATGGTGAGGTGAGTTCTTTTTTGCTATATCTTGAAACCTATGCAAATTTACATTATTTTCATTCTCATATTTGTGATCAACCAGTTTCAACAATTAACCAGTTTCAAAATCATATTTTTGATATGTTTTACTACCTATAAACTTTTGGAATAAATAGTTCCAACAATTAAGCGTATACCCTTTGGAGGAAGCTAACTACAAAGTTATTATAAATCTCCAAAACTAAGTATTGATTTGGCACAAACAATGGAGAACATCAATAATTTATCTTACTAATATTTAAATTTATTAGGATGCTTTTATATTTTGTCTAGCATTTACTTCAACACATATATTTAATCAAGTTTATTTATATTTAAGAAGTAACACTTATAAAATATTTCTAAAATCTTCAAACATTTTTAAAACGTACCGGGCCAAATACAATTTTTTTCCCCAAATACAAACATCACACTTATAAAATATTTCTAAAATTCTTCAAATATTTCTAAAATATATCGAGCCAAATACAAAATATTTTTTTTTTCCAGATACAAACATTTTTAAGATCTACAGATATATTGCGTCATGGTCGCGCATTGTGTTGCTAGACATCACTAGTGTATATATATATATATATATATATATATATATATATATATATATATATATATAAAAGTGTTGGAGGTAGCACTAGTCACAAACTGTGTCATTGTTCAGGGGAGAAGCATATTATAATATGTACACTTTTGTTTAGGCAATCGAACAACTTTGCTAAGGTTAAGAGCACTAATCAATCATACTTAAACAATAAACAATGAGTAAAGTAATTGAAAACCCCAACACTAATCTCTGCATTAAAACCCTTCTCTCTCTCTCCTTTTTTGGAAGAGAGAGAGAGAGAGAAGACTGTGTGTGTGTGTTTATATGTGTCCATTCAATAACTGATAGGACATCTGAGAGGTAAGTGTGTGTGTGCGCGCATTTCCTCTTTATTTTTTTCTTCTTCTAATCTTCTCCTTCTGCTGTTTTCCCCCCGTCTTCTTCCCCTTCCTCATCACCAAACTTTCTTCACTTTCTAAGCTAAAACCCAAAAAAACAAAGAAGCCTAAATATATAATCAATATCCCAGACAAACAAACTCCACATCTCCATCCCTCCCTTCCATACAATATATTGGGTTCTTTTTCTTTTTTTTTTTTTTTTGAACCTGAGCTTTTCACACATACACAGACACACAGTTTGATTTAATGCAACTGGTGATGATCAGAATCTTGCCGCTTCACGTTGTCATCAAGTTCATTACATGAATTTTAAAGCAAAAGGTGTTGTGGTTGTTCAATAAGCGGGTAAAGCTATGATGATGATGAAGAAGAAGCAATGTCATGGGTAAATAAAGTTTTGGGAGTTTCTTTCTTCTTTAGTATCGGAAAGTAATTTCACGAAAAAACCCAGTTGAGGAAAGAGAAGAAAATTTGTGAGGAAAAAAATGTTGGATCTAAACGTGGATGCCGTATCAGTGGACTCAGCCTGTGATGAAACCGACCCACTTCCAGAACCGGGTCATGTTTTCTTCCAGCAACCTGACCATGATTCTTCTGGCGCCTCCTCCTCCGTGGTCCACCACCACAACGCCGCCGCCGCCGCCACTACTACCCTCTTCGCCGATGAGGAATCCAACAGTTGTTCCGGCGGAGGGACCGCCCGGGTAACCACCACCCTCAAATTCTCCATCCTCGGCGGCGGCGGCGGTGGTGGAGGTTCCGGCGACGCCAATCGCGTCATACAGATTGTGGAAGACGAGGAGGAAGAAGACGTGGACGACGGAAATGATCAGGAATTGATGACGAGGCACCTGTTTCCTCTGCCCAAGATCACTAAGACCGAGTCTTCTTCTTTCTCGTTGACTACATCCTCCTCCGCCAGGCCTCAGCAATGGCTTAAGCTTTCGGCGCCGGAGGTGCTCGTCGGAGGAGGAATCGAGGTGGGTTTTCGTCCTAAGATCGGCGGTCTTCATCAGCAGCAGCAGAAACAAGTTCTGGTGGGTCAACCAAATCAACAACAGCAGCAAGTGAAGAAGAGCAGAAGAGGACCCAGGTCAAGAAGCTCTCAGTATAGGGGTGTCACTTTTTATCGCAGGACTGGAAGATGGGAATCCCATATCTGGTTTGTGCTTTTTTTTCTCTTCTTCTTCATTCTATTATGTATTCATCTGAACATATATATATGTATATCTTTCTATTGTTATTCATAGACTATTGTGTTTGGGACCTTCTGGTGATATCATATGTATGGTTCTTTTGTTTTTTTTTCCTTATTATTTAATATACTTGTTGGCTTTATGAGCTGCCTGCTTCCATTCTCTTGTTGATCAATTAGATATGCCTTTTTTTATGTGTTTTTTCTGGATTGCTTAATGTGGGGGGTTTTTTTTTTCCCCCCTGGTTTGTATTTATGGCTGCTGCTTTTCTTGTTGATTCTAATTGCGTATTGTGTTTTGGGAACCGTGCAGGGATTGTGGGAAACAAGTTTACTTGGGTAAGTACATTGATCAAGTGATTTTTACTTTGGTTTTTGTCCCCCCCATGTGACTGTGTGTAAGGTTCCGATCTTTGGCAAGTTAATAGCTGATGGGATTGTTTTTGTGCAGGAGGATTTGATACTGCTCATGCTGCTGCTAGGTAAGGGTTTTTGTTTTCTTCCCAAACATCTTGTCGTTCTTTGAAGTTAATCTATGTCACAAAACATGCGCAGTTTTCAAGTTTTGGTTTGACTGCTTATTCAGCTCAATCTTAAGCTCATCATCCATACTTTAATGGTCACATTTCAGGGCTTATGATAGGGCAGCTATTAAGTTTAGAGGGGTTGATGCTGATATCAATTTTCACATAGGTGACTATGATGAAGACATGAAACAGGTACCAATGTACTACTCGGATAAATGCCATATGGTCAGCAAGCTTGGTTTTATGCTATATCTCATAAATTTTGGTTGTTCTTTGTGGATTAACAGATGATAAACTTAACGAAAGAAGAATTTGTTCAAGTACTTCGTCGTCAAAGCACTGGGTTTTCTCGGGGAAGCTCAAAGTTTCGAGGGGTCACTTTGCACAAATGCGGTCGCTGGGAGGCTCGGATGGGTCAGTTTCTTGGTAAAAAGTATGTAACTGCCTATGCCAACAGTTTCTTGTACTAGTTTAATTTTTCCGCTTGGAGGTGATAGTACTTCATGATCTAATGTGCAAAAAACCTGAAATATATTGTTTCAAACAAAATCCACTTTTTTTTCCTCCCTGGATTGCTACTTTTTTCATGGTGGTCAATTTTCACCAGCAATGCTACCGCTTTAGAACCTACTTTTCTTAGTGTGAGATGAACGCTTGGACTGCAGGTATATTTATCTTGGGTTATTCGACAACGAAGTAGAAGCTGCAAGGTCCTTTTTATCATAAATCACACTTAGTCTGCGTGCTAGTTCTCAAATGTGAAAAATAGATTCTTGGCCCACATCCATTTTGTTGATCTCCGTTTTCATTTCTGATTGATCTAGGGCTTACGACAAAGCAGCCATCCAATGTAATGGAAGGGAAGCCATAACAAACTTTGAGAGCAATGCTTATAATGAAGAGCTCCGTAGGGCTACCAAAAATGAAGGTATATATATGATCGTAAAGTTGTCATATTTTCTGAAATCTCAATGATCAACCCTAGGCCAAATTCAAAATGATCAGACTGGGTATCTTGCAATTGCAGTTAGGGACAATCTTGATCTCAATCTCTGGATTTCTCCGGCTCCAGATAAGCTGAAAGAAAATTATCTTGAGTACTATAGGACTCCTGAATTACAAGAGGGGAAAAGAATAAAGGTAAATTGTCACTATACTGAATTGCTTTTGCTTGAAGTTGACCTTTTTTTCCCACAAACCTGGTAAAAACCTTGTTTGGTTGCAACTCTAAATATATGGTTTATTCGATAATAATGAAATGTCATTTTTCAAATCTTGATTTGTGATTTTGTCTTCTTCCTCTCAGGTGGAGAGCTCCTTTACTGCTCCTGGTGGTGTGGCAGTTCCTTCCCATGAATCTTCAGTTTGGGCCAGCACATATTCTGATTTTGGACCAAACCATGAGGTAGTGATTTCCAGAATGCTTTTGTCCAACATTTCGAATCAATACTGTTAGGCATAGATGTTTTCGATCTTCAAATGGTATCACCCTTTGGAAATTCTAACCTAAGATGTACATATTGCAATCTCATTTTGAATGTATATGCTGTTGTAAGAATAACAACCATACGATTAATTATCATAACAAGATTCTTCAATGCAATCATGTCCATTTCCAGTGTTTTGATTTTGTCAGTCTATGGATTGGGATGCACATGCATATGCGAACTCTCTTGAGTCTAGTGTCATTTTAGCGCATAGTGCAACATCAAAATTCTGTGATTCACTCCCTAGACATGCATCATGTTTTGACAGGAAAGTGCAAGAAAATTGAGGGTTGATGGTAATCCAGTAATACCAGGATTATCAAACTGGCCTTGGAAAATGCATTGCCAAGGTGTAATCACTTCAGTGCCTTTGTTTTCTTCTGCAGCATCATCAGGATTCTCCACAAACACTCCCTATTCAACTTCATTTCAGTCATCATCCAACTCCCAGAATAAGATTGTCCACACTACTACTGCCTTCCAGCACCCTCCAATGACCCTTAATTTCAACTAAAAAGGCGACGTGGTTGGGCAACGTGTTTTTTGTTTGGCCTTGGAAGGCAGATGGGAGAGCCACTGATCCGGTCAGTGTGGAATTTCGTCTGTGTGATTCTTGCATATATATAATATATAAGGTACAAAGCAAACAAATTTGAAACATCTCATTATGTATAGATCATCAGTGCAATACTATATGTAGAATTGCGACCATGATAAGTGTTATATAACCATTCCTCTTTGGACTTTTGAAATGCTATATATGACTTCATAGGTCCGCGATACTAGTTCAAGAAGAATATTTACAGTCCTAAACTACTGTTTTGTTTCCTTTTTAGTGGGAAACCGATGTATCAAGCTGATGTTAACTGCATTCAATAAAAATCATTTTGAGTCGAATAGAGTATAATCCTAGAAATATTTTATTCATTTTATTCGAGTTTTGTGAATTACAGCGTCTAATATGTTTAGGGGGTAATTAAGATAGAATAAAAACACAAATAATTATATTGACAAACTCTTCCTGTGCCCTAATATAACTTGTGAAAATTAAACTATCAAAGAATAGAAGAAACGGTCAAAAAAATTGGGATTTTATTCCTTAATTTTTTTTCCCCCAAGATTCTTAGTTTTTATTAGTACAATCATTTTACAGTGAAGAGAATATCTGATTTTGTAATATGTTTATATCACAGCAAAATTGTAACTTTATAAACACATAAGAAGTTTGTCCATTATGTCCAATAAAATTGGTTTGATATGGAGGTCAAATCATAATGAAATTAGTATTTTATCGTCGTATAATTATTTTAAATTTGATCATGAAAAGTTATCATGACTGGTTTCTTTGATTCAATCAAACGAAATTACCGATCTTAATTAAGGTTTTTTTTTTTTTTTTTTTTTATAGTTTGTCGCACACAATAGACTTAAACCATCATTGAGAGGGAAAAGAAGAGAAACATTAGAACAAGATTAATAGAAGGGAAAATGAAGGAGGGCTATGTACACATGGAGCCTTGGGATATTATATATCATATTTTAAACATTTTTTTTTTAGTTCGTACAAATTTTGCACTATTATTATATATCATATTCCTTTCTTTGTTTGCTTTTTTTTTTGTTAATAAACTAATTATTAAATATATTATGCACTTGTTGCTCTATTCTCCAACAAGGGTGACATATATATGTCTCAATCTCATCCAAACTTCCTTGCAGAGTGTTGTCTGCAACTTAGTATGATGTTAGAAAACTATGAGTCCAATAGAAATGATATGAATTGTGTGTAGTTTTGGTTGTCTAAAAAAAAAAAAGGAGAAAATGAATAAAAGTTGAAAAAGAAGATAACACGAGAAAAGATGTCAGAATTTCATTGTTATTTATTGCAAAGCCATTAACAATTATGTGCATGGCTTTTTTTTTTTGTTTTTTGTTTTTAATTTTTATCTTCCTCTAAATCATCTCTTCTCTCCTTAATTTCTATCTCCTCGATTTGATTAATTTTATAAATTTCATGATCGGGAGCTCTAATATTGATTAAAGCAAAATATAAAATAAAATAACGCAATATAGGAGTATAAATAATGGAATTGAATTGAAATGTTAATATCATTTAATACAGACTCATTGAATCTGGATCATTACAATTTACAACTTACACAATCAAAATCGTATTCTTCTGATAAGTAGGTCAGGCTTCATACCTTTCAAATAATGGCATATATATGATATAGGCAACATCCACCTGAATTTGTGTAGTTGAAAACGAGAATTACTTATATGCTCTTTAGATTAAGATTAGATTGGCATTCAACATTCAATTAATTAATTCCTAACTCCATTTTCTGTTTCAGCCTAAATCTTTTTCAGATTAAAGGAATAAAACATGAATTCATGTGGAGTCGACTGTATCGCTTACATGTTGTCATCGTCCTCTACCAACTAGAGGCGGAGCTAAGGGAAGGCTAACTTATGCGGTGCACCATCTACATTAAAAATAAAAAAAGAGTTTTAAATATTTATTAAAAAGTATATTGACGAGTATATTAAAGATTTCGGCATCGTCATATATATTAGTTCTGTCCCACAAAAAATAGTCCAGTTTTAAATTTTAATAATTTTAGTATAAATTTCAAAACTCAATGTAAACTATTTTTTTTGGATAGAGAGGGTGTTATTGGACTCTTTCGCACCCCCAAAACTACACAACCTATAAGTAACTTTTTAGCTTATTTATTTGAAAAAAGAAAAACAATGTCATTTTACTCAAAACAAATACTAGGTCAAAAAAATTTAAATAGCAAAAGTTTCAAATATGTTTATTAAATTTCATATTTTCAGAATGATAATGATATAAAATTGGTTAACAACCAATAAAAGGCCCAAATCAATTCTATCAAGACACATTTGGGATCATATATAATAAAGGCCCAAGTCTTAAGTCACTTGGAATAAAAGTTTAAAGACTAAAAACAAAATGAAAAGGTAAAATAATAAATAAATTTTATTGGTTTACACATACAACAAAGAAAGACAATTTCAAGCGCAAGCTAAATTTTTTTTTTATTGGTTTAATATAGTAAAACTTAGTAGCTAAAAGATTTAATTTTTCAAGAAAAACATCTCCAATTTAGAATCTTTTGCTCCATTGATGATTAAATATGTAAGTTGCATGTGTAGTTTTCTTCCCCGCCCCAACTCCACAAAACTGTCCACGATTGAAAGTTCACACTAAAAAATTATTTTAAAATATTAAAAAAAGTTTAGCACTATTTTCTATGACATTTTCTTTTTAAATCGTGGAGTTAGCTATCCCTAGTGAAATTTCCAGCACACCAAAAATAAATAAATAAATAAATTGAACCCATAATAAAGGGGTGCTTTGGTTAAAAAAATGCCTGAAAAATGGAGTAGAGAGATCTATTTTTTTTTTTTTGTAAAGCAAAATATGGAGATCGGATTTACAAAATCCGAACTACTAATTAAATTAGTAAATTGGATTTTGAAAATCCGATCTAACAAAATAATATATCTTTTTCCGAAAAAAGTGAACAGTAAAATCGGATTTTGAAAATCCGAACTTCTTTTTATTAAAAAAAATCTTTAAGTGCAGAAAACATTGAAAATTTTTCCTAGTTTTGATAGGAATTCACATTAAATTGACCTATCCACTTTCAAAAAAATTAAAAAAAATTGTATTAGATATGGTAATAATAAAATCTTATATTACTAATAATTAGGAATTTGCATTAAATTGATGAAAAAAATATATTACTATTGTTGTGTAATACTATTAAAACTGTTAGGAATTTGTATTATATTAATTCATTATAATTCATCTGTACTAGTGTTATGTACTATTTATACGTACTAGTGTTATATAGTACATTAATACTATTACTCGCTACATATCATTGGTACTAGTGTTACTTATTACTGTTAAATCTATTAGTCATTAGATATTATCTAGATTAGTGTTATATAGTATCATTAATACTACTACGACATAAGTATCACATATATACTAGTATTACTTATTATTATTAACATTGTTACACATCATATATCACATGTACTAGTAATACAGATATCATTAACATTGTTACCTATTACATATTATTGTTACTCTTGATACACATTACTATTAATATTGTTTTTTTTATTGTTAATCATTATTTATCATCTGAACTAGTATGACATAATACTATTAATACTGTTATACATTAGATATCACTTGTACTACTGATACATATTATTATTAATAATGTTACAGATTATTATTATTAATATTATTATCTATTAATAATAATAGATAACACACGTACTAGTGATACATATGTATTAGTGTTAGAAAGTGTTGTTAACTCTGTTACTCAGTACAAAACACACGTACTAATGCTATAAAATATCACACACGTACTAATGCTAACATTGATACATCTATTTTTGAGGATTATATTGACACAATATCATATTTGAAATATGAATTTTCAGTTAAAGCAAATTTATAAAGAAAATCGGATTCTACAAATCCGAATTTCGATAAAATCGGATTTCACAAATCCGAATTTGTTAATACAATCGGATTCCACAAATCCGATTTTAGGGAAAAATCGGATTTTCAAAATCTGATGTAAAGGAAAATCCGATTTTTGATTTAGGTCGGATTTTGTAAATCCGAATTAAACCCTAAACCTAAATCCGACCTAAATCAAAAATCGGATTTAAATTTTTCCCTAAAATCGGATTTGTTGAATCAGTTTTCATCAACAAATTCGGATTTTTAATATCCGAGTTACGTTGAAAGTCCGATTCCCAAACTTCGATTTTATTTTATTATGTGGGATTTTAGAAATCTAAATTTTTTTCTTCCATCACCGGGTTCCTAATGTTCCTTGTTTTGGTATGAGCATTGCAAGAATTATAAATTTGAGATATCAGTATCAGTTTTACTTTTAAAACCCAGTCTATTTTTTTTAGAAAAATTTTTTGTTTAATGTCGGATTTAGCAAATCCGAACTTAGTCAAAACTAAACTAATTGTTGTGTTTTATATTTATATGGATGAACAATAGTTTTTGTTATTATTGTGACATATTTTGACTGGTTTGAAAATTAGTTTATCCCTTATTTATATTTAAAAAAAATCTTGGTGGAAGGACGGATTTTCAAAATCCGACCTTGTTTTTTTTTTAAAAAAAATTGAAGGGCGGAAAATTTTGAAAATCTGAAAATTTAATTGAAAATTTGAAAATATGAAAAAAAAAAGTTAACAGTAAAATCGGATTTTGAAAATCCGAACTTGGTCAAAATTTTATTTGTGGGAAAAAAACTTAATTTTTTTTGGATGTTATTTTTTTATTTACGAAGATCATATTTTAAAAATTCGATTTTCTTTTAATGTTGATTAAGTTAATTAATTTTTGTTATTAACATAAAGTTGGATTTATGAAATCTGATTTTAAGGCAAGGTCGGATTTTGAAAATCCGATCTCGGTATTTTTCTCTTCTCTAAAATTCGACCTATATTTTTCTCTATTCTTTTTTTTGAACCATTTTTTAACTAAAAAACCTTATAATAAAGTGAAACTTCTACAAAAAAAAAGAAGAAACTAATTAATTTGATATAGATTTTAGTATAGTTTATTGTTGGTGATTTGATTTTGCAGCGTTTGCGCGTTAGTAACTGTAACGCTTAGTGGACTAAAATCCCAAAGGAGAAAGGGGCCCCCAGTGCATTCTCAATGCAGTCCAAGGCTCCAAGCAGAATCGAGAAAAAAAAAAAAGAAAAAGAAAAATGGAGAGCCCAAAAAAAAAAAAAAAAATTGCTTGCCGGCTTGTCTTTTAAGAAGCAAGTGCAGCCATATAGAATGTTTGAAATACTCTTCAGAAAACTCTTGCTTGGTAGCATCCTGAAGTTTGCAATTACAGTTTACATTTAGGAATGTGAAAATCCGGAAAAAGAAGAAAAACAAAAAAGCAAAAATTCTTCAAAAGTTAATAGCTTTCAGCATCAAGCCTGCCTGTTTTATGTAAGTATAGAAGTGTTACAACTTGAGTTATTGAAAAAGCTGCCAACAACAGTGGACACACCGATCCAAGGCATCAGAACAGAAAATGCAATATTTTTCAAAAATGGCTTTCTTTAATGTATGCAACAATTGTATATGTCAGCTTGCTGCAGTCGCATGGCTTGGAGGGATGAAGGGCTCGATGCGATTCCATATCAACGCGATCTCAATAGCTTCATGGCCGACCCTTGGTAGAATATAAGAAGAGTTCAACATATAAGTGAGAAGCTACTCATTCACCTTCTCAAACAGACAAATTTTGTTTGGGAGTTAAAGTAGCTTTTACCACAACATATTTGGTGTAGATTTCCACAATTTCCTTTGGATCACATTTTGTGACTTTGTAGGCCTCAATTTTGTTAAGCTCCTGTTCACGTTATGAAACTAGATTATAGCCAGATTTGAAACAAACTTCTGGTATACATATACTACACGCCTTCGAATTGCTCTGGGATACAACTCTTCCGGATGAATATAATGCATTATACTATCACACAGAAGAAGATTTACAACCAAATAATGCTCATCCAATGTGTGGTGTATCATTACTTCAAGGCTTACAAGTAACCCTAAAGACGTTAATGTTTCATAGGATTTGCATGACGATGAAAACAGTAACTGATGCTAACTGCATTTCACGTTTAGCTGTATGATTCATTTCACATGAGCGTAATTTTGGAAGTGTACCTCAATCCATGCTGCCAGTTTCGGCCTGCCTTCTGCAATGTCATACTTTTTCACCTGTGACAAGTAGACTTGATACCTTTCGATGAATGGAATATAAGCTATATCCACCTGAGTTTTAATGTAGAGAAAACAGAATTTCAGTTCCTAAGACAAGCTCAATTGAGGCATTGACGTACACAATTTTCTTCAACAGTAATTTGCTTTTAGCTCGGGGAAATGCCTGTTCAGATGGAGGAGCATATCAGACAAACTAAAAAGCCTGAAACTAGGTACTTACCAGACTGAAACAACCAAGGAAAAAGGGCCCATCATTGAATTTCCCAAGGGCATTTTCAATGTAATCAAAGGCAGCACCTAATCAGTCACTCGATGGTGTTAATTGTTGTAGTCGATATATTAGCTATAAGCAAGAGCTTTAAACTTACCAGATTTACTTAAATCATGCTCCTTTAAAGAAGAAATAACTGATGCATTGAAGGTTTCTGAGTAGGCCAGCAACTCCTCTGCAAACTCTACCTTTGCTGGATCCTGAATTTCCATTTTGCACTAAGCTATTAGGAACTGCAAACTCTACAGATCATTTAAGGAGCATATAAACAACTTATAACTGGTATAAGCATCTTTGATCTTACATCAAGGAAAAGCGAAGGGCCCTCAAAGTTATCCTCCAGATATTTCAATAGATCAAGGGACTCCCCTTTGATTTGGTTGTTGTGTTCTAGAGACGGCACCTGAAGGTTATGTTCATGAGACCTTGAAAATGGAAAAGGAAAATAACAATACTGCACCGCAATCAACATTGTACTCTATTTTAGGTTATATCAGCCATTATCCCAGTTAGTGATTCTCTGAACAAAATCTTAGGCCAACTTGATGATCAAACTTTCAGCATGAATTCCGATTTTTGCACCATATGCGTAGTATCAATGACAGAGAAATCAGACCAAGTATATTGACCTTGCCTAACGGGTAAACTTTCTCCTTATACCATGCTGGTCTCTTGTGCATGTTTAGAGGAATCAATTTTATCTGATCTTGTAATCCCTGCTCCGGACAAGAACATACACTAGATCAAGAAACTAAAAAGGACTTCAAGAGTAAGGAAATCCAAAATAAATTCAAGAATTTACCTTATAGTTCCTTGCAATCCACACACGATGCGCATATGGGCATACATAGGCTGTGTACAACCTATACAATCGAGAAAAAATGAATAAGCAATCAACATTGTTTTTCTTTTATTCCTTTCCTCTACTTTTAGGAGTACACACATGAAAAAGTTGCTGAAATTCTCACAGACTGAAAGTTAAAAGTAGGTATTACCTGGTGGTTCCATCAAAGAGCACTGGAGGGTCCGAGGAAGAATCAAGGGAAGGCGGAGGAACTTCTCTCAAACTTTAATACCAAAACCATGGAAAAGAAAAAGTCCCAAGATCAGTGATAACGTCCAATATTCACAGAAAGAACACAATACAAAGAAAGCATCAACGCTATCAACAAGCAAGGCAGGCAAAGACCCAATTTTTTTTTAGTCATGATACATTTCTGCTTCTCTTATGACAGTTGACTCCAAAGCAGAGGATGTGTAGGTTACCCCGTAGCCATTTTATGATGCCGTTGATAACGAAGAAAAGTCGGAATGAAGACTAGCTTGAGAATGAAGATTGTTTTTCTTATGCAGGAAAATGCAAAGAGATGATGGTTATATAGCAGATGGAAAAGAAGACCATCAAGCTTATGTACCTAGTACATGTTCTCGTTGAGTTTATGCATCTGGAAAAGATTTTGTTTGTGATGCATTGCAAGAAAGGAATCTGCATTCGACACTAAGCTGAATCTCAGGAACGATGGAATTTGCCGCCAGAGATGCGTTTAAAGATCATTACACTCTGCAGCGTGACAAAATAGTGCAGTATTATAAAATTAGAAACTAGTAAATCCTCTGCCACAACCACATCCAGACAGAAAGTTTTTCATCCCTTCATCCATTTATCATCTCGTTCCCTCCGTCCACTTCTACTCTTACATAGTTTTGTCATCGCGATTATCATCCCATTTGTTAAGTTTCTTTTAGTTAACAATTTCATAGTTGGTAGCTACACGTTGAAAAGAATCAGTAGAATCATAGAATCACTAACTTGATCACATGTACACAAACACCAACCAGATTTTATTCAGTTACACAAGGCGGTAAATTCCATGAGAAACACCACCTTTGTCATAATGCTTAGTATTACAACCTTAAACTGTTTCTTTATTCAAAAAGCTGAGAACACAACACACAGATCCAACCGCAACATCTACTTTTACACTGATCTATTTATTATAGGTCTACCACTTAAGATCTCTGAGCTTGCATCATATACCATATGTTCTAGAAAAGGGATAGCTTCGTCTCGACTCAACGTCATATCGAAGCCCTCTGAAAAGCTCACTGCCAAGGCGTTAACAATAGACACAAATCAGATTGCAATTCACTCTGGTTTCTAGCATAAATCTTATCTTACAAAGTAGCACTTCCACAAAATTAGACTCACCATAAAACGGTTCTTGTAGAGTTCTACGACCTCCTTCAGATCTGGTTGTGTCCCTTTATAGGCATCAACCTTGTCAACCGCCTGTAAAAGTGTTTTAACAAGGTTATGGCCAACTCAAAGTGAGCTTCTATATAATTGTTACTAGTAAACATTTTTCAAGTGGTCTCGGGAACTATTGTTCCTGTCTTCCTGATGAGTGTACATATGAACAATAAATACAGAGACATTATCAGGGTAATCATTTCTACTTGCATGGATCAAAGGCATAACAATTGGTATCCTAATGCTTATTTCTCTGCAGAATCGAACAGTATAGTTCTCAAGCACTAAGTTGACATTTATAACTACCAAATATCTAATCCCTCCCGTTACAGAATCATATTAATTATTTTGGGCTCATGCCGATTTCAATATTAATAAAGCTCTGTAAAGACTAAATGACAGTGAAACCCATAAAGTGTGCTCCTACTAATCTACTCCATTAATGGTAACAGATTATTTGGGTAAATACCTCAATCCATGCTGCCACTTTTGGCCTGCCTTTGGTAACATCGTAATGCTTCACTTCTGATAAGAAGGCTTGAAACCTCTCAACGAACGGGATGTAAGCTATATCCGCCTGAAAAACCATAGCGAAAATATGAAATACCGTAAAGTTCTTTAAGACAAGATTAAAACACACTGAGTTAAACCATAATATTCAGTTGCCATAGCTATTCATGATGGAAAATACGAAACAACAGAAGTCTATAACTTAGCACCCACCATACTGAAACTTTCACCGAGGAGAAATGGACCATCGCTAAATTTCCCAAGGGCATTCTCAAGATAATCAAAGGCCGCATCTAATCAAATCACATCAACAGTATCAGTTTCTGCAGGTCAAGTAGTCAAAACCGCAAGCATTTAACTTACCAATTTTACTCGTATCATCTCCTTTAAAAGACTGAATCACAGACCAGTTGAAAGTATCAGTGTAAGCCAGCAGCTCCTCCGCAAACTGTCGTTTAGCTGGATCCTAGATTTGAACAAGTAATAAGAGAATGTAAGCTACAAGTAATGATGCCCCAAGAGCATTTAACATAATGACCAAAGAGTATCTTGATTCGTACATCAGGAAGAAGTGAAGGACCCTCAAATTTCTCCTCCAGATATTTTAGCAGATCCAAGGACTCTCCTTTAACTTCATTATTATGTTCCAGAGCAGGCACCTGAAAAGCATTAGAACATCAGAACAAGACCTCTAATTCTATTGCTGGGCGGATAACTTTCCATCTGAAGTTCAACTTGCAAAGTTTTGAGCATGCAAATATCTGTCGAAGTTTTCGCAACATTAATGATCTCCATGCAATGTTTTGCAAGAAGAACTTCAATATTTTGAGCTACTCCCTCCAGTCCCAGAATACGAGTCCCTCAGTACAACAAACAGGACCCTTATTTTGGGTGCGAGGGGATACAACCTACTTAACAGTATCAAAGCATAGCAGTCAGCTAGTTTTTGTAACCTTGTTTGCAGGGTAAACTTTCTCCTTGTACCAGGCTGGCCTGTTCCCAAGGTCAATAGGAATCAACTTTATCTTATCCTGCAATCCCTGCCCCAGAGACGAACATACATACCAAATCAGGGAAACAAAAGGGGTATGGTAAAGTAAACAACATCAACACAAAATGCTTCCAAACAAGTGAGATGGAAGAAAAACTCCCTCAACAACCTTAAAGTTGCTTGCGATCCAAACACGTTGCGCATATGGGCAAACATAGGCTATGTACAACCTACAATCACAAATAAAAAGGCAAAGCTTAATTATTAAATCTGATCACCGAAAGCTTATCATTTTTCAGGCCAGAACTTTCTGACGTAGCCTTCTTATTCACCCTATACTATTCTACTAAGAATTGCGGATGTGCAAATGTTTGATTGAACTTGAAATTCCATGGTGCATAAGTGTCTCAAAAGCAATCTCAAAAACTAACAGAACTCTGAAATGAAGCTTGTACTGCCGCTGGAATACACCATTTTCTACAAAACCAAAATCCCAGTTGGGATACGTTCTGATTTCCAAGTTCTAAATGGTAACATTTTACCTTTAAGCTATTCCAATCACGGCTAGAAGTTTTTATCCAAAATTCTAATTTTTTTTTCTCTTATTACATTGGAAGGGGAAAAAAGAACGAAATTCCAATTGATCAAGAGAATGATGTATCGTTACAGAGACGGCAAAGACAGGGAAAATGAAAAGGGCATGTTTATCAGAAAATTAAAAAAAGAATACTACTTACTTGGGGGTACCATCGAAGATGGCAGGCGGGTCTGAAGAGGAAGTAAGAGCAGGTGGGCGAACCTGTGTCAGACTTGAGCAAGAAAAACAACAAAATCAATTCCAAAGCAAGGAACTGCAAAGGACTAACATCCATGATGATTGACAGCCCAAGTAAAGATAAGATTTTTATCCAAATTTCGATATCCTTTTTTCTCATTTGATCTAATTTCGTCTCATAAATTATTCAAATAAAAAGAAGAAGATATAGATCGTAGATGTTTACCCAGTAGCCATTTGGTGATGCTTGATTAAAAACCAAACCCGATCAAAGAGAGGGAAAGAAAAGACGGGATTTTTTAGCTTTAAACCTGAAGGTTCTGGTGAGTGAGAATGGCAAAAAGTAGCGTGATCTGTGGTTTAATATAAAGTGAGTAATGGTTGAATTGAGTGACACGCGTAATCAGGATTCTCCATCATCATCATTCATAAATCTCATAATAATAAGCCTTTTGGCCAAAATTAGAAATCTCAAAAATGTATTTTGCCGGGATTGTTGCATCTGTTCAAACTTGTCTACAGTTCAAAGCCGTAGTGCTGTTTCTCTACAGTCAAACACAGCAGTCAGCAGTACTTATTGACTCTCCGTAACCTCTCTGCCAACACTTTGAATGGGAAAATCAAATATACTCCAGAATTATTCATCAGCCCTCAAAGTCTACTTCCTACCATTCTTTTCTTTTCTTTTTGAGGGTATTCTTGTACCATAATTTAACCGATTGAAAATGGTCTTTATTAATTTTTTTTAATTTTATTTTTCTGGTCAATTGATATTAGAATTCGAAATAATAACTAATCCTATATACAATCTGATGGAGTCGAATTATTACAATCAGCATTAAACGGCTATTTAGAATAGAAAACAACTTTGTGTACAGTCTACTACGTATGCACTTACACATGCTAGATAGGCCTCTTCTAGCCAAGTTCGACTATGGTTTTGGGTAGAACTGATGAAACAATTTATGGATGTTAGTCCCCCTAAAGAGACATTCCAAATTTCCAATTAATAATATTTATTTATTTGTATAAAATTGAGACGTTTGCAATTACTTGCAAGTTTTCACATTTCCAATCAAAATAGTAGTAGTGTCTTTTAATCCCGAACTTCCAAACAACCCAAATCTTATCGGAAGAAGGAAATGAAAGAAAAGAAATGTTTACAATTGCTTCTCAAATATTATAGGTTTCAACTTTGATTAATTTGGAGATGTTTTTATTTCATTATTGTTGGCTTAACATTTCCAAAATGAACAGGCTTTAAATCTCTAATGGGATCAGCTGAGCTGAACTTAATTGGCAAGACCATATTCTACCAATAATATAAATGTCAAAATTTAATGTGGAATATTTTTTATTTTTTATTTTTTGAACAAAACAATTCGTTTTCTCAATTTTGAAATTTACTTTAATTTTAGACCGGCCGAAATATTTAGTTAAATCGTGGATTCTGATTTTGGCTAAACTATGATAACAAAGAGATCTCATCCATTATGTCCTAAAACAAACAAAAATTTATACACATTCAAGTAGGACTTCAAAAGAATAAAAATAAAAATTGTCAACAACTAGCGCCATCATCATTCCTTTTACCCTATTAAAATAGAATACAGGATATTGATGTGACAATTTCTTATTAAAAATTTTTGGCTCCAAATGCACCATATTGTATTAACCATTCTACCACGAGTCATCCCTTTTTAAAAGAACAAAAAAAGTTCTTATCCGGAGAAAGAAAAGCTACTTTACAAAAATAGCTACACAATTTTAACTCCTAACATTTATCATTTATCAATCAAATTAAAATAGCATTTAAATTTGCCCATAAACTTATCCTCTTTATTACTCCACATTCTTTTATATGATTTCTGTATCGTTGTATTTTTCAATTTTTTTTCTCCTCTGGCAGATGATTTTTTTATTTTTATCTTTATTTTTGGCTAAAAAGGAAAAAAGAACAAATGTGTAGTTATTTTATTTTTTCCAAATAAAGAATTCATTTATCTATTAACACAAAATTAAAGTAGAAGGGCGCCCGGAATATCTGCCCGAGCCAAACATCTAGTATTTTATTAAAACTGACGCTGATCTCTTTTGAGTAAATACATTCTTTAGAAGTAGTGCAAGGTCCTGGTGAATTACATTGATTAAAGATTTGTGTTGCGTCCATTTCCGTTGGAACTTGGAAGTGGATCGTATGTGATTATTACAATCGCAAACACAAGCCCAACGCCACTTTAAGGTTTCGTCGTTAACGAAAAGATTATACTACACCCGAAAATTAATTGATTTTGTTACAAAATGATCGTTTCATTAATATATTATACATTAACTCGAATTATTCCTTACGTTACAAAAAATGTATTAGATATATGATGTAATATTGCATAATTTTTCTTACGTGTAAGTGAAACATTTCTGTCGCAACATAATATAATTTATATCGAGTTTTATAATATAATAATTTTTTTACCTTGTTGTGTTTTTTGAAATTACATTTTCTTTTACAAATTTAATATTCAATATTCAAGTTAGTCTAATTTTTTTTAAAAAAAATTATAATATTATGACTCATTGATGGTACAATTTTTAAAATAAAAATTGATAAATTAATATCATAAATTTGTATTTGTACTTGTATTCAGTTAAAATAACTCCCTTCATCCCTAATTATCACATAAAAATTTTTATTTTCAGTAAAATTTGTATTTAAATTAAAGTAAAAAATTTAAATTAAATAATCATTTTGAAAGAAAGTATGTTATATTAACTTATTAAGAGTCTTTTTAAATTAAAATAAAAACTATTTTCTCTAATATGTCTACATCAAATGTGGATAATACAATAATTTTCTATTTGTGTGTAAAGATTAGACTCCTCTAACCATGCAGGGGAAATTGTTTTCCCAATTGGTAGCACACACAGAAGGCTAGGGTAGGCCCATTTTAGAGGATTTTGACTAGCCAAACTGTGGTAGCAAAAGATCCATTGTTTATACTTTGCAAAAATTTACACACATATAAAAGTAGTCTTTCAACAAGAAGATGTGGTGGAAGATTGGTTATAATACTTTCTGAATTTGAAACAATCTTATTCTTCTTCTGTTTTTGTATAGCCTTTTTGCCTCTAAATTTAGGTAGCAGAGCTTTGTTAGGTGCCTTTTCTGTTAGTACTCCCTCCGTTCCAAAATTATTGTACAGTTTAAAATTTCACTTTTAGTAAAATTTGAATTAAAAATAAAAACCTAAACTGGACAGTAATTAAAGGACGGAGGGAGTACAACATTATAAGTTGTTACATCTGATCATGGATGGAGTAGTTGGAAGGAATTGGTTTCTCAGTAATTGATATACCTAACAGTTACACATACTTTGTCTCTATGTTTCAATGTTTCAAAATAATAGTGATGAATCAAAATATTCAAGGATCCTAAGTCCTCCCCACATCAATATAAAATATCTTATCATTATTAGAAGGAAACATTTGAACCGAATAATTAACATACCTGCTCCAGTCTCTAACAATAAATTAAAAAATAAAAGATGCTTTTAAGAGAAGCCCATTTGTATTTTTCTAAAAAAAGCCACAAATTCAGTCATGATGGATGGATATATGAATGACTCATTACAAGGCTCCACACATTAATTTCCTCCCTAACCAATCAGATAACCTTTCTAATTTCGTAGTTATTGTAGCCCGCGGCGAAATGGAATCGACCTCTTCTTCTTCAACGCCATTGGTCGTGAAGCTGAAACCCATTGAAGCCACACCTGAAAGCTTCCAAGAGTTTGGACAGGTCATTGAGGCGACCCCCGACGGTGGCGAATTCGGCCCTTCCGACGCTCAGCTTGACCTTACCCGCGGCACCCCAAGGTTCTTTTTCTTTCCTTCCTTCTGTTAAAGTTCATATATATCTTTTTCTTTTTTATTTTTCATTTTTAGTTCAAATTGTACTGGTAGAAGTCAAAATCATTTTGAGACAGCAGGAGAGTATACATATACTTCCGCCGCCTCAAAACTATTGTCCAGTTTAAATTTTTACTTTTAGTTCAAATTATACTAAAAGTGAAACCTCAAATTGGAAAATAATTTTTGGGATGGAAGGAGTATATATCGAAATAGTTTTTGAGTGGGGGGGTGTTGTTGGATTACAGGTTATACATAATGCATCTAGAAGATCAGAGGCCTAGGTTTTCTAAGATAAGCCATCATGCTAATGTCACTCAGTGCTTGGGTGCAATTGGTGGCCATGTTTGGTACCTTGGAGTTTCTAAACCGTCCCTTGTAGAAGAACCCGACTTCGACGTCGCTGAGCCACCGCCTGAGGTGGTACAATCACGTTGGGGACATTTTTACGTGCCTCCCCCAGTTGATGAAGTTCGTTTCTTCAGGATTTCGGGCTCCAAGTTTCTTAAGCTCAATCGTGGAACATGGCATGCTGGTCCATTGTTCAACCCAAAATCCATGGACTTTTACAACCTTGAGCTCAGCGATACCGATGTGAGTACAGTACACTACTAATACTCTTCATTAATTTCGTATCAGAATCATAGTTACTAATTACATTCACTAAGAGTTTGAATTTTATTTTATTTTTATTTCAAACTGTAGTGAAATTTAAACTGGACAATCATTTTGGATACACGAGTATTTTAAAGAATGAATGCTTGATAAATTCTTTCTCAATCTTTTGGCAGGCTGTCGATGTCACCACCCATTACTTCATTGACAGGGACAATGTTAAATTCGTGTTGGATGAGTAGAGCTTTCTAACAACATTTTCTTATTGTTACAAATAATTTATGTTATTTTCCTCCAAGTATAAGATTGAACTGTGGGTGTGAGATGAAGATAATGTTTCCCTATTTACTTCTTTAATTTTGTTGTAATTAAACGCTTCTATTCCATTCCATTCCTGTCTGCATTCTGATATGAAATGAAACCCTGCTGCTTTGATGAATAACACAGTTTATTTGTAACCGATTTCAAGGGAGAAAAGACACTTGATTGGGTTGATCCAGACCTTGTGGATTTCAATATGTAACTGATAGAGCATGAAATTTTCCAGCAACATTAATCAAGCGATAACTTTTTATATATATATATATATAAATGATCCGGTCACTATAATAACCCTCCAAACTTGATCTCATTGAATCTTTCCTCCATTCTCCTAAAGCCGGTGAGTCTGAGAATTCCGCATACCGATCAAAATACTGCAAACACCAACCATCATTCATATACATAAATAAATAACTAAATTATTAAAAAAAATTATAAGTACCAAAAAATAAAAAAAATTGAGGAGGCTATCCATTTTGCAATGGAATTATATTTTTTACAATCATCACCTCAAAATAAACAAGGTGAGTGTGGTGTTTTGGAATGTGAGAAGAGTCTCTGAGTTCATACAACTCTTGGATAGACCTCATCATCTGCTCAACTGATAGCAAATGTTTCTTTTCTGCGAAAAGTTGGGCTATCCATTTTGCTTGCGATTCGAAGAATGGGAATCCGATCAACTGTACATACACACGAGTCGGATATACTTTGATTAAGTATATATGTTCTCTACGTCTCAAAATAAATACTATATCAAATATATGTAAATAAATATTAAGACGGGCCGGTGTTTTATTTTTTCAAAAGAACATATACCACACTTGGATTAAAATGCTGAGGTCAGTAATAATTTGAGGAAAAAGATAAGACAGAAAATGGAAGTTTTTGGGGGATTACCCTCTGGGGAATTCCAACAAAAGAAAGAGAGGGAGCAAGTAAAGGAGGGAATGTATGTTCATAGAGAGGTCCTACAACATTGTCATCCTCCTTAACTACTCCTTTGGTATCCAAAAATGAAAAATATTAGTACCTACCGCATTATTAAAAAATAAATGAAGAAGAAGAAACAAAATGTTTTAAAACAATTAGTTGAAACTAGATTATTCCAAAATAAAAATTAGATAGCACACAATTTGGGGAACCTTTTGTGCGTGTCTCGTGTAATTATTGATCTAATTTTTAGTGTTTGTTTGCACAAGTTTGAAAAGACCTTCTAACTAATTCTCATTATGGTTCTTTCACAACTCACAAGTGATTCTTTTTGTCTTTCAAAAAATAATACTTGTTCTAATGCAAAATGTTATGTTTTGATATCGGACGAAGAAGATAGTTTTCATGAAAATGTTACATAAAAAATTACCCTGTAACATATATGATAGTGTCGGCAATAATCCATTGACCGTTTATTAATAAAACTAGTCCGCCTTCGTGTATCGATTGGATCTGCGATATATATTACTTTGGTAACTTAGTAAAATGTTAAGTGATTTTTGTAAACAAATTATAATAAGCAAAGCAAAGTATTATTGAAAATCATACACTAACCATTGGATGAAGATGTAGATTATTACTTTTTGCAAGAACTTTGGATAAGCCTTCGGTGACATTCGATGGATCTTTAGCGCTTAAATGTACTTCCTTTGCAACTTTTGAGAGCTCCATCGAAATATCTTGTCCACTTTGTGAATTTCCAACCACCACCACAACCTAATTAATCATTATCATAATCAAATACTATATCGTCCTACCAAATGCTATTTAAATTAAATGTTCAAAAACAACCTTATAAAAAAAAACAATGGGGGGCTAGGAACTAGAATACGTTATCCCTCAACCACTATGTGAATCTCCAAACACCACGATTGGAAGCTATTGATGATACAGCCAATATTTGGAAGATTATAATTATTTTGCATAAAAAATTAATGTTCAAAGCACTTGAACCTTCCATACTTGAATATCAAAGCACAAATGATAAGTAGACGTTATTAAACAGTAAAGTATAAGGGCAAAGAGCTGGAATAGTCATATTTTTGTCCTTTATTATGAAAAAGAAGGAAAGAAAAGAAAAGAGAGATTAGTCACCAAAGTTTTAATTATTGTTTTCTCAACGATAAAGATCATCAAGTTAAAAACAGATCGAATTTATTTTCCTTGGATATTCTAATAAGAAAAGGCCAAATCTAAATGCATTCACTAATTATCAATGGATTACATTTTCATGTGAAAAAACAAAAAGTTAATTAGTAGAGTGACACTACATCAATTATTACCTCATTTGTAAATGGCTGTGGAAATCTGTACATATGACTATGCATTTGCTTCCTTTTCCATTCATCCATACCTTCACACTTACAATATTACAAAAACTCAGTTCATTGCAACATAAGTGCGCAAATTACTCATTTCGTTTTGAAATGATTGTCCAATTTAAATTTTATAATTATTTCGAGAGGAGAGAATAAAACTTAAAAGTACAATGCAACAATTTTTTTAAGAGATCTAGCTAAGTATACCTATACCTTTAATTCCCTTCATCCCAAAATAATTATTACATAAAAATTTTTATTTTCAGTAAAATTTGTATTTAAATTAAAGTAAAAAAATTTAAATTAGATAATTATTTTGAGAGAATGAGTATGTTATATTAACTGATAAAGAGTCTTTTTAAATTAAAATAAAAACTATTTTCTCTAATTTGTCTACATCCAATGTGGATAATACAAGAATTTTCTATATGTGTGTAAGGATTAGACTCCTCTAACCATGGAGGGGAAACTATTTTCTCAAAATGTAGAACACACAGAAGGCTAGGGTAGGCCCATTTTAGAGGATTTTGATTAGCCAAACTGTGGTAGCAAAAGATCCATTGTGTATACAGTGCAAAAATTTACACACATATAAAAGTACTCTTTCAACAAGATGTAGTGGAATATTGGTTATAATACTCTCTGAATTTGAAATAATCTTCTTCTTCTTCTTCTTCTATTTTTGTATAGCCTTTTTGCCTTATAATTTAGGTAGCAGAGCTTTGTTAGGGGCCTTTTAAGTTAGTACTCCCTCCGTTCCAAAATTATTGTCCAGTTTGACATTTCATTTTTAGTACAATTTGAGCTAAAAATGAAAACCTAAACTGGACAATAATTATGGGACGGAGGGAGTAGAACATTTTAAGTTGTAACATCTGATCATAGATGGAGTAGTTGGAAGGAATTGGTTTCTCAGTAATTGATATACCTAACAGTTACGTATACTTTGTCTCTATGTTTCAATGTTTCAAAATAATAGTGATGAATCGAAATATTCAAGGATCCTAAATCCTCCCCACATCAATATAAAATATCTTATCATTATTAGAAGAAAACATTTGAACCGAATAATTAACATACCTGCTCCAGTCTCTAACAAGAAGAAATTAACAAATAAAAAATGTTGTTAAGAGAAGCACATTTGTTTTTTTTTAAAAAAAAAAAAAAGGCCGCAAATTCAGTCATTATGGATGGTTATATGAATGACTCATTACCAAGCTCCACCAGTTAATTTCCACCCTAACCAATCGGATAACCTTTCTAATTTCGTAATTATTGTAGCATGCGGCGAATTGGAATTTACCTCTTCTTCTTCGACGCCGTCGGTGGTGAAGCTGAAACCCATTGAAGCCACACGTGAAAGCTTCCAAGAGTTTGGACAGGTCATTAAGGCCACCCCCGACGGCGGCGAATTCGGCCCTTCCAACGCTCAGCTTGACGTTACCCGCGGCACCCAAGGTTTTTTTGCTTTCCTTCCTTCTGTTAAAGTTCATATTTAACTTTTTCCTTTTCTCTTTTTTTTTCATTTTTAGTTCAAATTGTACTGATAGAAGTCAAAATCATTAAGCTGACATACAATTATTTTGAGATAGCAGGAGAGTGTACATATACTCCCGCCGCGCCAAAACTATTGTCCTGTTTGAATTTTTATTTTTAGTTTAAATTATAGTATAAGTAAAACCTCAAACTGGACAATAATTTTTGGGACGGAAGGAGTATATATCGAAATAGTTTTTGAGTGGGGGTGTTGTTGGCTTACAGGTTATACATAATGCATCTAGAAGATCAGAGGCCCAGATTTTCCAAGATAAGCCATCATGCCAATGTGACTCAGTGCTTGGGTGCAATTGGTGGCCATGTTTGGTACCTTGGAGTTTCTAAACCATCCCTTGTAGAAGAACCCGACTTTGATGTCGCTGAGCCGCCACCTGAGGTGGTACAATCACGCTGGGGACATTTCTACGTGCATGCTCCAGTTGATGAAGTTCATTTCTTTAGGATTTCGGGTGTCATGTTTCTTAAGCTCAATCGTGGTACATGGCATGCTGGTCCATTATTCAACCGAAAGTCCATGGTTTACAACCTTGAACTCAGCAACACCGATGTGAGTACAGTACACTACTAGTACTCTTCATTAATTTCGTATCAGAATCATAGATACTAATTACATTCACTAACAGTTTGAATTTTATTTTATTTTTAGCTCAAACTGTAGTGAAATTTAAACTGGACAATCATTTTGGAGACACCAGTATTTTGAAGAATGAATGCTTGATAAATTCTTTCTCAATCTTTTGGCAGGCCGTAGATGTCACCAACCATTATTTCATTGACACGGACAATGTGAAATTCGTGTTGGATGAGTAGAGCTTTGTAACAACATTTTCGTATTGTTCAAATAATTTCTGTTATTTTCCTCCAAGTATAAGATTGAACTGTGGGTGTGAGATGAAAATATGTTTTCCTTGTTTACTTCTTTAATTTCGTTGTAATTAAACACTTCTATTCCATTCCATTCTTGTCTACATTCTGATATGAAATGAAACCCTGCTGCTTTGATGAGAAACACAGTTTATTTGTAACCGATTTCTTGGGAGAAAAGACACTTGATCGGGTTGATCCACACCTTGTGGATTTCAATATGTAACTGATAGAGCATGAAATTTTCAAGCAACAGTAATCAAGCAATAACTTTTTTTTTTACATAAATGATCCAGTCAGTATAATATCAAAGATTGTGATAATTTTTACATAAAAAAAAATTATATTCACGTTCTGGCCATTTTTATTCACCTCCCTCATTTGATGGTGTGAGTGAATTCATCAAAGTCTATCAAATTGAATCGTGGAACAAGGCATCCTGCTCGTCCATTGTTTGAGCATAAATCCGTGGCTTTCTACCACCTTGAGCTCAACTATGCTAATGCGAGCGCCGTACGCATGCCACTTTGTTTCGAAATGAGTCTCCGGTTAATTTTGTTATATTAAAAAATTATATAATTAACAAATAGGAAAATCATTTTGAGACGAGGATAAGGTTTTGTTTGTATTTGATAACCTGAATAACAAGAGGAACAAGGTGACCTTCGTCGTATTTGACGAATAGCAACTTCTTCCCGTTACATAAATGAAATGTGATAGAAGATATGTAATAATAATAATGTTTCTAGTAAATGCTTCTGTAATTAATCTTCAACAATGTTATCTTTGATTCTGTTGTTTGAATGAGGAAACCTTTTCTATTTTCGTTTTTTTTACTTTATATATATATATATATATATATATATATATATATATTCGCATGTCATGTAACTGGTTCCATTATTTCTTTCGGCCATTCTTGCCTTCTGGTACACTAGTTCATTCACAAACCGATAAAAACTCCAAAAAAAAAAAAAAGTTGGAAGGAGACCTTTATTCTTGTAATAGAGCATGAATGTACTTTTCCAACAACACTCAAAACAATATTTTCATTTTTTATTTTTTTTTCCCATTTGAATGAACAAATAGATGTATGAGAATGTACACACCATAACACATTGATGGGATGATACTAGAGAAGTTAATTGGAGAGAATTCAAATTGTTAAATTCTAAAATGGGTAAAATGAAAGCTGTTGTAAGCTAATTGAAGCAACTCTTGGTCATGCTCATATGAGTCCCGAAAGTTCTCCAAATCGCTCAAATAACCGACCAAACTTGATCTCATCAAATCTTTCCTCCATTCTTCTAAAGCCAGTGAGTCTGAGAACTCAGCATACCGATCACAATACTGCAAACACGAACCATCATTCATATAAATAAATAAATAACTAAATTATTAAAAAATGCTATAAGTATAAGTACAAAAGAATAAAAAATGAGGAGGCTATCCATTTTGCAATGGAATTATATTTTTTACAATCATCACCTCAAAACAAACAAGGTGAGTGTGGTGTTTTGGAATGTGAGAAGAGTCTCTGAGTTCATACAATTCTTGGATAGACCTCATCATCTGCTCAACTGATGGCAAATGGTTCTTTCCTGCGAGAAGTTGGGCTATCCATTTTGCTTGCGATTCGAAGAATGGGAATCCGATCAACTGTACATACACACGAGTCGGATATACTTTGATTAAGTATATATGTTCTCTACGTCTCAAAATAAATACTATATCAAATATATGTAAATAAATATTAAGACGGGCCGGTGTTTTATTTTTTCAAAAGAACATATACCACACTTGGATTAAAATGCTGAGGTCAGTAATAATTTGAGGAAAAAGATAAGACAGAAAATGGAAGTTTTTGGGGGATTACCCTCTGGGGAATTCCAACAAAAGAAAGAGAGGGAGCAAGTAAAGGAGGGAATGTATGTTCATAGAGAGGTCCTACAACATTGTCATCCACCTTAACTACTCCTTTGGTATCCAGAAATGGAAACGAATATGAGTACCTGCCGCATTATTAAAAAAAAAAAGAAGAAACAAAATGTTTTAAATCAATTAGTTGAAACTAGATTATTCCAAAATAAAAATTAGATAGTACACAATTTGGGACACCTTTTGTGTGTGTCTCGTGTAATTATTGATCTGATTTTTGGTGTTTGTTTGCACAAGTTTGAAAAGACCTTCTAACTAATTTCTATTATGGTTCTTTCACAACTCACAAGTAATTCTTTTTGTCTTTCAAAACATAATACTTGTCCTAATGCAAAATATTATGTTTTGATATTGGACGAATAAGATAGTTTTCATGAAAATGTTACATAAAAAATTACCCGGTAGCATATATGATAGTGTCGGCAATAATCCATTGACCGTTTATGAATAAAACTCGTCCGTCTTCATGTATCGATTGGATCTACGATATATATTACTTTGGTAACTTAGTAAAATGTTAAGTGATTTTTGTAAACAAATTATAATAAGCAAAGCAAAGTATTATTGAAAATCATACACTAACCATTGGATGAAGATGTAGATTATTACTTTTTGCAAGAACTTTGGATAAGCCCTCGGTGACATTCGATGGATCTTTAGCGCTTAAATATACTTCCTTTGCAACTTTTGAGAGCTCCATCGAAATATCTTGTCCACTTTGTGAATTTCCAACCACCACCACAACCTAATTAATCATTATCATAATCAAATACTATATCGTCCAACTAGATGCTATTTAAATTAAATGTTCAAAAACAACCTTATAAAAAAAACAATGGGGGCTAAGAACTAGAATATATAGTCCCTCAACCACTTTGTGAATCTCCAAACACCACGATTGGAAGCTATTGATGATCCAGCCAATAGTTGGAAGATTATAATTATTTTGCATAAAAAACTAACGTTCAAGGAACTTGAACCTTCCCATACTTGAATATCAAAGCACAAATGATAAGTAGACGTTATAAAACAGTAAAGGATAGGGGCAAAGAGCTGGAATAGTCATATTTTTGTCCTTTATTATGAAAAAAAAAAAGAAAAGGAAAGAAAAAAAAGAGGGATTAGCCATCAAAGTTTTAATTATTGTTTTCTCAATGATAAAGATCATCAAGTTAAAAACAGATCGAATTTATTTTCCTTGGATATTCTAATAAGAAAAGGCCAAATCTAAATGCATTCACTAATTATCAATGGATTACGTTTTCATGTGAAAAAATAAAAAGTTAATTAGTAGAGTGACACTACATCAATTATTACCTCATTCTTAAATGGTTGTGGAATTCTGTAGATATGACTATGCATCTGCTTCCTTTTCCATTCATCCATACCTTCACACATGCAATATTACAAAAACTCAGTTCATTGCAACATAAGTGCACAAATTACTCATTTGTCACGTCCTGAAATAATTGTCCAATTTAAATTTTATAATAATTTTAAGAGGAGAGAATAAAACTTAAAAGTACAATGCTAACAATTTTTTTTAAGAGAACTAGCTAAGTATACATATACCTTTAATATCAGGTAAACGAGGTTGAGCATAATGGCCGGAGGCGACAACCACCGCGTCAAAGACTTCTTCCGATGATGCCGGCAACCCAACCACTCTCCGATCATCATCAAACTTCTTCTCCTCAAGTACGCTTCTCACGATCCATTTCAAGTTCTCAAATCCATCACCACAGCCGCCACCACTTCCGTCATTGTAGTTCAACATTCCAACATATTCCACTCTAGTGTTAAACCTAATCAAAACCCTTAATCCAAACCACTCACAAAAATCTCTTAAATAAGCAAGAACTTCAGTGTGGCTTGGATACCTCCTACTATCCCCACCGCCTTCTTCTTCCTTCTTCACAATGAATGGAAAATCAGTGAACCCCATGATTTCCCTTGGAGAAGCCGTTCTTAAAGATGCATAAACACTGCTGTGAACCTTTAAGAACAAACCCTTTCCCAATGGATCTTCATCTTCAACATTTGGATCATATAGCCATTGGCCTCCAACATCATGCTTTTGTTCAAGGACAACAACATTATGGCCTTCTTTTCTCAGCTCCCTTGCAGTCACCAACCCAGATGGACCTGCACCGATCACACATACATGTTTGGAAGCAGAATTCATTCCTTCTGAATTACCTCTTCTTCTTCTTCTTTTTTTTTTTTTGTTTATTTAATTCCTTTAATTTGTTCTGTAATCTATATGTACAGGACATATCAAATTAGTACTAATAAAATGCTACGACATCATAGAGCTCTGTGGACCAGAGTGACTACTTATAAGTTAAAAGTACGACAGAACATGAGACAAAACACCAATAATGATGAAATGAAAACAAAAAAAAAAAAAAGATCGATGTCCACGATGTGGAACATAAAAACTACTGTATATTTCCACATGTGAGAGGCAAATAATTTGACTTGTCAATTTCGATCGAGTGGCTATGTAAGACGATTGATCCTCCTCAATTTGGGACAAAAATGTTTAGAATTGATACATCTGCGTATATTAGAAAATGAACGAATTTGGATGAAAACCTATCTAGTAGTAAATTACTCTCTTGTTTTTGGAGAAAAAATGTAGAGTCGACTTCTTTAAAGATTTGTGAAAAGTCTCTTACAATATGAAAGATCAACTTTCCGTTTCACGGTTGGACCGTGTAAATAAAAGATAAGTTTCCTTTAGAATCAATCATTTCATGATTCTTGTAAACAACGGAATAAAAAACGAAAAAAAAAAAAAAAATTGCAGATGTGTTTGCTACAGTGATATTACTCCCTATACAAATCTTAAAAATTCAATTTGGACCAATTTTGGAACAAAGATAGTATTTACTATCATATACTCGTCTGTCCTAAAATTATTTTCTAATTTGAGATTTCATTTTTAGTACAATTTAAATTAAAAATGAAAATCCAAACTGGACATTTTTAGTACAATTTGAACCTAAAAATGAAAATTCAAACTGGACAATAATTATGGGACGGAGGGGGTACATGAGAGGTCTACAGTTACATGTGTTTGACAGTCGATAGTATTGAAATTAATTATATCATTTTATACTAGAGAAGCTAGTTATGAGTTTTATTCGTTCTAATGAGTTTTATACGTAGTAATAAAGACTAAAGAGATCAAAAAAGTGAATTCGGATATCATTCCTAAACTTTCATTTCCAAACTCACATTACCAAACTTCATCCGCTCCTATACATTAATCATTCCATTCAACTTATTCGAAACCTCTATACTTAACTTCGACCTAAGATCTTGCAAAATTTAAAACTTCGTTTAGCTTCAATTCAGGCCATGTTGATGCAGCATTGGACATATATGATCTTCTATTATACACCTTGATATAGTAACCTCACTCCATCTGCTGCTATCAGGGATTCCGAAAACCTCAGGGCTTAGACTGACAAATTGGGAAAAAAAAAAAAAAAAGAATTAGTCACCAAGTAAGAAGAAAGAGGGGAAAAGAAAAACCAGATGCAAAACATGTTCTAAAGGTAGCAGATCTTTACCAAGAAGCGTTTCTCGTAGGATTCAACGAGCTCCTTTGGGTCACTTTTGGTCACTTTATAAGCATCAATCTTGTTAATCTCCTATGGACGTAATCTCATCAGGTTAGCGGGTAGGGAAATATAGTTACTGATGCAAATAATAAGAGAGCACACCCGGACGAAGGAAAAATGAAAATATTCCACCCAGTCTTTTAGTTTAATGTGATAACTACGGTGATTAAAAATCTGTAGATACCTCAATCCATGCTGCTAGCTTTGGTCTGCCCATCGTTATATCATACTTCATTACATCCGCTAAGAAGGGTTGATGCCTTTCAATGAATGGAGCATAAGCTATATCCACCTGAGTTTGAAGGCATAAAACGTATAGAACATGTATCTGTTAATAAGATGTGAAAACCAACAGAATCAATCTAGCCAACGAACTCAAACCTCTTTTGGCCTATGAAGTTTATATGCTTGACAAAGAGGATGAAGGAGGAAAGTAACAAACTTATCACTTACAATACTAAAATCTCCAAGGAAGAATGGACCATCATCAAATTTTTTCAGTGCCGTCTCAATGTAATCAAAGGAAGCACCTGAAATAATCACTTCTTGGTATCAGTTTTAACAGAGAAGACGACGGTAAAAAGCCTTCAGCATGATACGTACCAGCTTCAGTTATTCCCTCCCCCTTGAAAGATGCAGTAACGCCTTTATGGAAGGAGTCGGTATAGGAAAGCAACTCCTCAGCAAACTCTCTCTTGGTTGGATCCTGTAGAGTTAGAGAATGTTAACAGTGATGAACCAAACTATAACAGATAGATAATGTTAGAATCTTACATCAGGAAGAAGTGAAGGACCTTCAAAGTTATCATTCAGATATCTGATTAGATCAAGAGACTCTCCTATAACTTCATTGTTATGTTCCAGTGCTGGCACCTGTACATAAACTAAGCCTGTATAAAGCCCTGAAGAAAATCATAATTTTGCAAACATTCACTAGCTTGACGAAATACACTGGCTTCAACTTCTAATCAACTTTTTCAACAAGCAGAATAATTCCAGGATCGAAGCAAGGAAACATTTTAAACCCAAAGAAAACATACACAAAGTTCGTGTTAAAATGTAACATCAGACATGAATTTAAACTTGTCCAATTGAAAGAGCTACGATCGGATATTATAGCAGAATACTGTAAACCATCCAACCTTGTTTGCTGGATAAACTTTATCCTTGTACCATGTTGGCCTGTTTTTCAGGTCAATAGGAATCAGCTTTATCTTATCTTGCAATCCCTGCTCCAGAAAAGAAATTATAAGCACAAAAGCTAAACAATCCCAGCACATCAATTCAAGAAAAAAAAAAAAAAAAAAAAACACATTGGAGGGCCAAGAATTCCACCTTACAGTTCCTTGTAATCCACACGCGTTGTGCATATGGACAGGTGTAAGATATGTACAACCTGAAATCAAGACATGGAATGATTACAACTTACAAGTCCCATTTCATAGCAAAAATTTTGGGGAGGAAAAGTTAAAAGATTTTTGGCCTAAATGGTAGTAACAGCAGGGGAGTACATTTTTCCCAATGATGAGGAATGTAGATACACATAAACTTGTGAACTGAACTGAACAGAGTAAAAGCACCGAATTAAAACGCTTACTTTGGGATCCCATCAAAAATTGCAGGTGGGTCTGATGAGGAATCAAGAGCAGGGGGAAGAACTTGTTTCACACTAAACAAAGACACGTTAAGCAACAACCATATCAAAATTGAAGAGCTGTAAGGTGCGTATTTAAGGTGGGAAGAACTTCATCCAGTCGAAGCGGAAAAGAACAAAAACTTAAAAAGAACATATAATCTGGATTGGGGAAGATGGGCAGAAGAACCAAAGTTACCTGGAAGCCGTAGATGATGCTGATAGCGAACGAAGTCTAGGAGATGTTGGTTGGAACAGAATGTTGTTTCTTTGGGATGTGGGAAATGGGTTAAATAATTTGATCGAATTTTGAGGTAAAGGATGTATAGGGGCGTGATAATGGTGTATGGCCATCATTTTGCTTTCTTCTTTGATTGGGCGGTGCCGGAGTTGGTGTTGTGTGGTGTTTGATATGGAGTTCGGACCTTTTCTTTTCTTTTCTTCCGTGTGTTGTTTACTCTTCGGCTTAGAACCTCTGAAAGATGAAGAGATGTTTTGGAAATTTGTCACCCAAGCATTATTTATCTGATTTGCATCATCTTAGTTTCTTTACTAAAGTGCATTTCTCAAATGTATTTGGTGGCACGACGTTGGTTAATCTTCTGTTGGTTTTCCATCTCAAGAAAAACAGACACACAGTAAGAGGAGAAACGAGTGAAGAAAATCAACCTTTCGCGCTCTAAGGCTGATACTTCATAACAGGGAACAAATGAATAGGGCCACAATTTACAATTTAAGAAATCGATTCCACCCCCGCAAGCGTTCCTCTTTTCAGAAAGTTCTGCACTGGCTACTAAGCAAATAAAGTCATCAAGTTTCAATTTCAATGATCATCACCCCACTCAAACTCTAAGCAAGTTACATCCCAAAAACTCTGGTATATACATCGCCAGAGTTGGCCATCTGATACATTGAATCTCCATACCCAGAAAAGTACTTGTTCATTAGTCTATCGTTTCTTTGAAGTTCTGCCATCGCTACCTCGTTCTTCCTTTGGACATCAGCAAAACCATAAGGATATCCCCCATTAGAAATGTGCCCGTTCCCATACATTTGCTGCTGCGATACTTTTCCATACGAAGGCGGTTCATACGTTTGGCGTTGTTGATCCATCAGTCTTGATTGATAACCATATACGTCATTCAACGATGCTAGGTCGTCCCCAACAAGGCCAGGAAACCCCATTTGCCCTTGAGAAGGTGTTTGCGGCACATACATTTGTGAATATTTCGACGCCTGATCCGCAGTTGCTTGCTGTTGCATAAGAAGCCAGAGTCTTGTCTCGTCATCCAATCCTCCCATCTGTTGATTAGAAGAAGGTGGCCTCGTGTTCAAGCCTGGGAGATTTAGTCCGTTTGTTGGTTTGCCTTTGCCATAGCTTAATATTGCAGGGTCAGCAAAGTCAATATCAGAGTTACTACCATTATTTACTGACACAGGCAATTGAAATAAACTGCCTGGCAACGAGGTATTAAGGTAACTTCCTGCAAAAGGAACTAGAGGCCTTAAACAAAATAACCTTAAGAAAGTTCAATCAAATCAAACATTAATGATATATAGGAAGGCAACAGCAAAGGGTGAGCAGTGTACATACCAGAAGAAGAACGAGAAAATCTGCCCGTTCTATCATATGCAGAGAAACCAGGAGGAGGTACTTCCCTGGAGGGTAGAGAAAAACCAGGTGGAGCCAAACTAGGAGGTGGCCTGGATACTGTTATAACAAAGAGTATAAAGAGATCAGTAATTTGGGAAGTGACAACAAATTAAGCTACATTGAAAATGCAAGACAAATTATCATTTAACCTCCTTAAATATTCCAAACTAATTTTCCTTTCACACACTTCTAAAAGAGAAGTTCCTTTCATATTCTTTTCAGTGTTACCCAAGCTATTCCTTTTTAATATCTTTGAGGTTGACTCCCCTGCCCACTAAAATCACCGGAAGAACTAGAAAAACAGCTCCGTTCAAGGAATACAAATGAGAGCGAGTCATAACAAAGTGCACTGTGTATATCAAAATGAAATTGGCTTTTGAGTGCAATATACAGATCCAATATAACCAAAATCAATCGAAAAGAGGTTGAAACGAAAATCAGGAGTGGCTTACGAACAAACCATCACATAGATGAAATGCCCAGTAGTTTATTTTCAACAAAATCAGCCACACACAGAAGAACTATGACAAAGATTATCTAAAACAGATCAAAAACACAGGCTAAAGACAATCTTTCATGAGTAGAACTACAACATCATAAGAACCCCGAAGAGAAAGTGAGTAAAGAGGAAGAAAAGAAATACCAGCAGAAGTGAAGGATTCCAAAACCAAAAATAAAAAGGAGAAAATACGAATACACATTAACTTACACCCTAAATGAGCCAAAAAAATAATAATAAATAAATACCTTTCTAAAATTGACTAATGCAAGAAACAGATATTTTGCCCTAAGTCAATATCTATGACAAGTGAAGTACAACCAAATGAAGCTTCAAAGCAAATATAATGTTAGCAGTAGGGCTGCAACCAATTGAAGCTTCCAATAAAAGATAATATACGAGGAATATGCAGAAAGCAAAAGCATAGCTCACATAGCAGTATTTACCTTGATGTTGAGGATTCGACAAGTAATGTTCCTTGAAAGAAGTATTTGACATCTGACCAAGATTATTGAGGGAAGACTCAAAACTAGCACCTGTTAAACCATCTCGTCTTGAAAAGGAAAACCCAGAATCATGACTAGTGAAAGAATTCCACGAAGAACCATTCCGGTCATTAGTTTCATCCAATAACTCAGTTAAACCATGAGGCAAGGTGAGGGAATCGTCGAATGAATCAAGATCAATTGACATGATATTTGAGATAATACTGTTCTCAACAGCATCTAAAGCACATTTTTCAACATCATTTGTTGAGTTCTCATCATCCATCCTTCGTAAATGTTCAACAATTTCTTCATTGGAAAAAGAGTTAGAACTTCGATATATCCTATCTGATTTAGCAGAGGCCTGAAATTTTAGCTCATGCCCTTGGTCATTTAATACAGAATTTACACAGGTAAACGGTAAAGCCTCCTCTTCAAGACTATGTACAGAACTCTGATCAATGCTGAAACTACTTGAACTATGAGTCCTCTTATGCAACCCAGAATGACCACTAGAATCCTCTGACGTCCTGGCAGGATAAGATGAATGACTAAAGGCACCCTGACTCGAATTGCTAGGATCCTTTAATAAGTCATCAGAAGGTATCATATCCTCTCTAACTAGCTCAGCACATGATTCATTCGACCCTCTATCCCTAGGTAGTCTACTGACGAGGTGACCCGGAGATGGCACTTTATATAACAAAGATTCCGCACAGGTATCCCCAAAATGATTATCAATCTCTTTAACTACAGAAGATCGATCAGAACATAAGTCTACTGTTCTTCTATCCTCCGAACTATTCTCATCTTTTTCAGGACCAGAACTACTAGGACGTCCAACAACATCTACAAAGGTTGTCATCTTGCCACCATTGAAAGGGCCACCCTGTGCTGAATCCTGTAGTCATGTTCACATGTCAATTGGAAGTATCAAAATAGCAAAAACCTAACAAATTTAACATCAATCTCAGGATTTCACAAAATAGGACATTAGCATTCCACTAAGACCTTGTACTATGGCAAGCAAATAATGTTGTATTTAAAATATCATAAACAAAATGAAAGAATAATAAACCACATTTTCTTACACTTGGGGAACTTCTGGCAGTAAATTTTTCCAATGCAGAGTCACTAGTATTAGGAAATTCTTCAAAAGGAGGAGGTAAGACATTTCCTGAGCGCTTTAATATACTATTTGAAGCACCGGCAACCTCTTGCACTCGATTCCTAGTATATCATATGAAGCCAAAACTAGGAATCAATAAATTTGAGCAGAGAAACTGATAATATCTTAATCCACTAGGAAATGCGATAAGACAACTCCATTTAACAGATTGCCTAAAAGATGCAACAACATATTAAATGTTAAGCAGGTATACCTCGTATGCACTGCAGCCACCTCATCTTTCCCAAAACTATCTTCATCAGCACCAATGGTATGTAAATACAGACAAGTAGGATTACCGCAAGGCTGAAATGAAACAGCATGACCAACATAATTACTTTCCACCACAAGGAAAAAATATATGAAGCAACATGCAAATCATATTTCTATACCATATTCCTCAACCAAGCATGGCAATACTTCGCAGTTCCGAATGATGCCCTGCATAATAATACTATATGTTGTCAGAGCAAACCATGAGATGGTAATTACAGAAGGAAGGACAGTTCTTACCTCAAGTATCTACCATCCAGGACAAAACCATGTACTGATTGAATACAACGTACAGCCTCCTCCTCTCTCGTGTAAGTCACATATCTGAATAGGAAAGAAGCACGTGAAAAAAGGATGAGGTTACTGAAGACTGAAGGTGACAATCAACGAGACCATTAATCACAATAACCTAAATGAATGAGAAACAAGATACAGCAACTCAAGGAGAGATAATCTGAAAAAGTAACTACAGTGCACTGAAGTTCCAACAGTAATCAAAGGACAAAAACTGATGCAGCTGTTTTTCTAATAACTGCTAGGATTAATCAAATCAGAACCTTGTTACATCAATATAACTACCTGGTAAGTTTAACATACATATCCTTATGTAGAACCCCTTTAGATAAAATACTCCACATCTACCTGAAAACAAAATGGACTCTAGCTCTCTCCGTCTCACACTCTTAAGGGCACCACAACGGAATGATGCGATAGGACAAGCTACGACGAGCTTTTAAGGTGTAAAATACCATGAGAACTAGCAGTAAATATGTACCCTGAAAACCAAATGACACTCTATACCTCCCATGCACAAAAATCACAATTGCCAGGTTGATAATTCATCAGTAACTAAGGGCTAGAGCACTTCAGACACAAAAAATAATTGGGTATAACAAAAGATTCATCATCAGAAAATAATCATCCGAACTGAACGATATATTTATCTTGTCCGTACAATCTTAAAGAATATTATTAAGTCTCTTTTAGTCTACCCATACAATTACTTGTGGACCAAAGACTGCAATTATAAATTAAAGAAGTTTGACTCACACGCTACAAGTGTCATTAATGAACTGCTGAATAGCTCCACCAGCTGTCCGAGATAGAGAAATCTTAGATATCTTCCCATATTGACCAAAATATTCTTTTCTCTGTAAGACCTGCAAGAGCACAAGATTTGTAGAAATTGAGGATAACCAGATACATTGGTATGGAGAAAAGACAAATTAAGAATTAACATTGATACAGAAAAGAGAAAATGGAACGATTCCCTTACATCTTCGTCAGCAAGACTAAGCGGCAGCCCAATTACATACGCCATTTTTCTCTGGATCACCCTGACATTTGTCAGATCCTTCTTTACTTCAGTAGTCTTTGGCTTGGTGGCCTTTGGTGGTTTGCTTTTCTTACTACACTGTGCTGACGCAACCCTATTAGACAAAAATAAATATTGAGTTTAATCGTTCGGATGCTTTAAAGATCCCCTCCAATTCAAAATATGGTCAACCTTTCGCAATCTGCTTGCATAGCAACAATTTTATCCTTTTCGTAGATTGTCCGACAGGCAGGACACCGCCCTTCCGTCTCATCCTTCTCTGCCATGTCTATAATGTGATGCCAACACCAAACACACACCTGTTGCAAAGGATGAGATCATGAGGTCACAATAAGCAGCAACCCATTTCCAAGATTTTAGCAGAGGAAATGCAAGCATCATAGTGGCAAGGAGAAAAATAAATAAGATATCCAGAGGTATATTAAGCAGAGTATCATTAAGCACTAATCAAACGGAGTCCAATAGAGGCCACTGTTGAGAATTAAACTATATCTGCAAGACATCCTTCTTTGGGCCTGAAGTTGAGCAGTTATACCCAAAACCAAACCTAAGAGTTCCAACTTGAAAAGAATGTAAAGAATTTTAGCCACAAGGGAGGTAAACACGACTTGTAATTTTTCCAGAAGTTTACATTTATGTTGCATGACCAATTACAAGCAAGAGAAGCTACAAACCTAAGCAAGAGAAGTTTACATTTATCTGCAACCTCTGTCCCAACAGATTGCTATACATACAGCATAAAAGTACTTTAACCTAAGCAAAAACTAACATCAATTAAAAAACACCACATAGTACCACACCCCATGCACAAGTATTTGTCAAAGAGGGTTTTCAATTCTCTATAACATCATTACCACACACAAGACGAAAACAGAAATTAGAAGGAAATGGAAGTTAAGTCTAACAACTCCATATCTCCAACATACAATCTTCACAAGTGAAAAAAAGACAGATAAACTGAGACCTGATAACCACATTTGCAAGGCTTGAACTGCTGATCCGTCCAGTCCATCTCTTCAGCACAAAGAGGACATCTTTTCTCTCCTTCGGTACTCATATTTGCCTTTTCACCCCCTCGAAACAAACAAAAAGAAGAGAACAAAATTTCCGTCAATCCACGACACAATATCACAATAGCTTCAAGAAGTCATGCAAAACACAGCATCTGCAACAATACTATCAATTCCACCACCCGACAATTGAAGAACCTACAAACCCTATTTTTTCACAAACCAGCATTTTCTCTCCACCGAACAAAAAAAAAAAAAAATTGTTCTCAGATCAGAACCGCTAAAACCTTTACCTATTTCCCCAAAATAAATCCAGGCGTTGACCGCAAAAATCAAATCTTCAACAATGTGCAAATCAAAAAACACAAGAGAACACAAAAATCCCAAAGCAGAAAACAAAACCCAGAAGGTAAACGCGGAGACGTAACAACAATACAGAAGCTAAGAAAGGTGCATTTCAACAACAAGAATGTACATTAAAACAAAACAAAAAGAGGTAGGCAAACACACATCTGCATTAATTGTGAAATTGAGAATTCAAGAAATTTTTGGGGCAAAAAATAATAAAAACTTACAGTGGTTTTTTGATAGAGAGAGAGAGAGAGAGAGAGAGAAGGCTGGATGAGCGAGAGAGAGAAAGAGAGATTATGATGAGAGAGAGACGCGAAAAAACAACACAGAGATGGTAGAGAGAGAAAGAGAAGGAGTATTAGGGAAAAGCAAAAAAAAAAAAATATAACTCTGAAAAAGGTTTTTTGTACGGCACCAAGGATTGAAAACCATAATAGGATAGAGACGGCTTCTTATTTTATGGATGGGCTTTTTTCCCCCAATTTTTATCAGTTCTTTTTTTATTTACTTATTTATTTTAGGAGTTGTATGTATGTATATTCTTCTTTCTTCTTTCTTCTTTTTTTTTTTTTTAAAGAAAAGTTTGTATTGCGCTGGAAATTTAATTCTACCAAATATATTATACTACTACTATTTTATTTCTTGTAATTGTATCGTGATCAAGTTATAACTCAAGTTAATAATTTAGTAATTTCATTATTAATTTTAAATTTATACCATATGTTCAAACAAAAAATCATACTACATGTGTTCATTTCCTAAACAAACACCTAAATTTGTTGATGTTGTTTGTTATAATGTCAATGAGTAATACAACAATTATTAGGTAGAAGATGGAATATAATCTCTTGCCTTACATATGTGTTATTTATGTTTATTCCCTCTTTGTCTTACAATTTACAATATGAACTAGTTTAATAAGACGGGAATATGGAAGAACAGTAATAATAATAGTAATTATTAGTATGTGTTTATGAAAATATTTTTAATTTAATTACGATTGATATAACAACTACTTTGATAGTTTATTATGATGATGCAAGAGAGGTGTGGAAACAAAAAGGGCCGATTCAAGTGGGAGAAAGATTGGAGGATATGGAAAGTTTGGACCATCGAAAACTATTGGAAGAAGGTCAAAATTGTGGTGGAGTGTATTGAACCAAATGATGCTGTTGCGGCTATTGAATTTGCATGTATAGTTGATTTTTATCACCAAAATAAATGGGGAAAAAATTTGTCTAGTTGGTGCTATTTTGTATGTTTTTGTTTTGGTGTTTGAGGTGCGGTCGTGTGGAATATCAAATACGTAAATTTGGATTTTGGGATACTCCATATTAATTTTTGCGGAAAATGGTGATATTTAGAGGCTTGTTTGGCCAACATTTTGTTTTAGCTTTTTTTTTTTATTTTTTATTTGCGTTTGAGATGTGATTTAAAATATGGTTTCAGATAAAATTTAAAAAATTGTTTGGGTGATATTTTAAATAAAGTAATAATACTTTTAGACCACACCGGTCGCCGGTCGTCGACCGGTGACGGTCCGGCGGCAGCAGCGGTGGTGGAGGTGGTAGATGAAAATTGTATAAAAATAATTTTTGAAATATTTTTTAGAAGTTAAATTAAAAAATTGTTTAGATAGTATTGAGATTTGTGTTTGAGAGGTATTTTAAGAGATAAAATGAGACAAAATACAAATTAAATATTGGGCAAACAAGGCCCTAGTTTTGTCTGATGTGACTTGTTTGGAGAACTAATAATGGGTCAAGGGCATCTCCAATCCAACATCCCTCTAAACTCTATATTTGGAATTGAAATAGTGAAATCTCACTACTTTAACAGTTTAAACAGTGTCAACATCTCCAACCCATTCTCACTATAAAATCCCTCTAAAAAGAATATTCTCAATATATTATATTATTTATTATTTTTTCATAAAATTAATTTTTTTATTTTGTATTTTATTATATTCTAATAGAAAAATTAATTACACTTAAGAAATTTATAATTACGCATATGATCATTAATTTAAATAATAATTACTAATATTAATCATTAAATTTAAATTGCAAAAATTTTATGTAATTAATTATAGTAATTTTTTCACCATATATTATGTCAGTTAAATAAAATTACAAAAAAGAAAATAACATTGGCTCGATGATACTAATAAAACACCATTACTAATTAACATTAATGAAAAACCAAATATATATAATTAAATTATAACAATTAAACTAATTAATATATAAACATGCCCAAAAGGACCTAACTACAAAAATTGGTAAAAAAAATCCAAAATCCTTCAAACTGGCCCAAAGAAAATAAAAGCCCAGTACAAAACCCTAAATTCAGCCCCAATTTAGTAAAAAAACAAAAAAAAAAATAGGAAAAAGAGGTCACCCGCTATGAAGCGGGTGAACAATGCTCCGCCAGATTTGAAGGAGGGTGGAGCACTTTGACAAAGAGAAGTAGAGCGGAGCGAAGTGCGTTGGAACACCCGCTCCGCCAAATCCAACGCGTCCGCCGGGCGCGTTGGAGATGCTCTAAGTGAATTGGTTTGGCTTTTGTTGGGACTGTAATAAACTGGTAGAAGGGCTTTAAAGATAGTAGAATTTTTCTCCTGTGAAATAGTTTTGCAACAAATGATAACTCATCTTACAGTATTTTTATAGGAGTCCAAATGTGTAACTTTACTTCTAACAACAACCAAAAGGATTTTTATTTCTTCATTAATGGGTGTAGTTGATGAAGTACAACGGTATTAAATGGCGAATGATCACTAATGCACAAAGAACACCAATCAAGTTAAAGCTGTTTTGGTGTCAAACATTCTCTTATAGTAACAAATTTTTGTGGGAAAAAAATACCTCGACTAAAAGTTTTAGGGGATCGACGAGCAACAACAGCAATCAACTCATCATCAAAAGAGATCTTAAAGCTTGTACACTCTCTTTAGGGTTTAGGGTTTAACGTAGATTATTATTTTTGGACAAAAGTAGTATTTTTCATAATGTTCCTAATTTTGTGCTTCACTCTGCATTCATTCACACCAATTTCATTTAAGCTGCAAACTTATTTTCTTTGTTCTAATTAACACTCCTTCTGGAAATAATAGCTTGTTTTTCTTTTTCCCATTTCTATAATAATTTGCATTAAAAATAAAAATCTAAATTGAACAATATTTTTGAAATAGAAAAAATATGCAGTTAAATTGGTTGATATGCTGTTTTTTCCCTTGAAGTTGATACAAATTAATACAATATCTATGTTCAAATTAGTTTTTTTATTTATTTTTAGAAATACTATGTTCAAATTGGTTAATCAACCATAATACTTTAAAGACCTTTCACGAAAAATTGTGATGTAGTTCTCGAATTAATTCTCACAAAAAATAATCCCGATTATCATAGCATTCCCATTTCAAAAAGGATTCGTTATGGTCGACTCTATTTTAAAATTCCCTTTTCGTTCCTAATTCCTTTTTTTTTTTTTTCACTTACCATTCAAATTGAAGTGTTTCATTTTAGTACTCTTTATGTCTCATAATAATAGTTTACCTTTTATCAAAATAGTCATAATAAGTTTGAAATTTGTATTATTTTTAGTTTAAATTTCAAAATCTTATGTGAATAAATTGTACTACATTTGTCTAAAAAAAGTTCACATTGAGTTTTGAAATTTATATCTATAATACTTAATTAAAGCAGCAAACAAAAATGACATGTGTCAGCACCACAATGAAAATTTTCCCGCCAAAATCTATTTTCAGTACAAAATTATTTTTGACACGTGGCACTCTAACTAATCAGAAAAAAAAGATAGAATAGATAAATACATAAATCCATTAATTATAACTACTTAAAAATATCTTAATTATATGTATATACTAATCCCTTAAAACAACAATATTAGTTGATAAAATCAAATATAAGAAAATCCCCTTAAATCAAGTGAAACACCAGTAATACTAATCCCCAATGTCAAATAATCTTCCATTCCGCTCCTCTCTCATACATGGGCTTTTAAATCAATTATTTAAAATCTGACATCAATTATCAATCCATCTCTTTCTGCAACAGAGAAAAAATAAACTGCCATGAAAGAAATTTGATTTTTTAAGGATGATTTTTTTTTTATTCTTCTGTTGTAGATATTGGTTTATGATTTATGTAAACCTGGGCATAAGTAACTGTTATAAATTAAATATTATAAATCTGGGCATAAATTTATGTGTAAATAACTCACTTTCTGTCTTTTCAATCGATTTTTTATTCTTTTGATTTTTTTTTAAAAAATAATTAGTATTTTTTATTTAATCAATTTAAAAATACAGACGACACCCCGGGCAAGCATCCAGTTAAAACTAACATAATATAAACATACCATCCCTTTTAATTTTATAGACCAAACTCTTATTTAAATTTCCAAGTAGATATAGATGAGATATTTAAAGAAATTTTAAATTTCATCACTGTAAAAAAATATTTTAAACCGTCGTAGTAAAAAAAAAAGGACCATAGTCAAGTGAATTATCGTGTTTTTATTGTTCGGTGTTCTGTGCCTTGGGAGTTTTTGGGTGGAGGGACTGATGAACCCTTTCGCAAATTTCTCACCATTTTCTTCTTTCGGTTCATATTTCTCGGTTTCATCCTTTCCTTGTTTTGCTTCCTTAAACCCTAAACCCAAGTAGAGTGTAAACAGTAATCATCTTGGTCCAAAAGCCCTGCAAAATTTAGTATTAAACCCATCAAATTCTGCCCATACTTCAATATATAGAGTAAAAAATGGGATCAATATTATGGAGGCAAAGATACACAATTCATCACATGGAGGCCATCGCATTCTCCCCTTCTTCTTCCTCCTCCTCCTCACATTCATCTTATCCGTTCAAATCCATTCGGAATTTCTTCACCCACACAAATCCCACGAATTTTCAAGTCGCCCCTTCAAAGTTTCTGACCCGCCCGAGGCGTTTCGAGCATAAAAATTGTGTCTTTTTGAACCTGATCGTGCGCACAAAATTCGATTCTGCTACGTCGTTACCTAGAGTAGGCGATTTTGCGTTGAGGCGGAAGCCCAATTTTCCGGTGGGCAAAAGCATTTCGCGCGTTTCTTCATCGGCCAGTAGTAGTACTGTTGGGTGGAGCGATGTTTCTTTCCCTGAAATTGGGGATGTCGAGGGAAGTGAAGGTGGCGGTGTTTCTTCTTATGAAACTGAGGATGAGAGAGTAACTGGTGTCTCGCATTCTGTTCCTGTCAGGGCTTTTTTCCTCACCACTAGGTTTGTCTTCCTTTTGCTTTCACCCCTTTTGGAGTTTGTTTAGTTTTCCTTTGGGAGTTGAGAAGTACAAATGTAGATAATTTGGATAATCGATTGGGAGGTTGTGTGGGGTTTCTAAGTGTCAAAGTTTAACTCAACGAGTTAATTTGGAAAATGATAAATTCAAGCCTTTTTCTTTCAATTTTACTGTTATAGAGAACTTCTGGCACTAACATTCATCTGCAAAACATGTTTCCTACCTACCTCCTTATGGCATAGTATGGTTTTGATGACATTTTTATAAAAAAACTAGTGGCTACATATGTTTGCACTGGATGCACAGTATTTAGTTATATGAATAAGCTGACCGAACTTTGTATTAAGTAATCAAATTTTGTGCACTCCTCCTTTTAGATGAGAGTGATTTAAAGCTTGTTTCAGGGAGGATAATGTAGAAGAGGTTTTGGGGTGGGAACTGATTTCCCATCTCTTGGTGTGATGAATTTCACCCTTTGTTTCAACAATATTAATGGCTTGATTCTCTTTGGCAGTGTGGACTTAAGGAGCTTAATGGATAACAACAGAGATTCTGTAGTTCCATCGTCATCCCGTATGACTAACTATGTTGTTTTGAGATTTGGCGCACCCAATTCTGACACAAGTGTAAGTCCCTCTTCCTCCCTAGTCTCTTTATCCTTCTTGATTCACTGGTTGCACCCACTTTTTGTGGATATTTTGGTTGATAAAAATGTTAAAAATACAAATTCTTTTTCTTTGATAGATAATTTGGTTAGTGAAGTTGGTCCAAATGTTTTCGTTTGTTTCTGAGTTTTTTTTTGTTTTTAGCTTCTGGATCGTATGATGTCCACAGGTTTGGTTGCGTGAGATTTTCTTTATTAAACTGCTTGTGTATTTGATGAGTAACTGTTCTGTTTTTAAGCAGTTTATGTTTTTCATTACTGAGAGCAGTAATTCATGTGGTTAAAAATGACATGAACCTAAAAAGTGTCTTCCCTTCACAATGAGGGAGTCTAAAAGTGTTAACCTGGGCCCGAATGGAGAGTGCTTTGGTTTTGGTTTTATTTCTTTGCCTTGGGTATGTGAAAAAGTTAAATTTATAATGTTTGCAGGTGCATTTGGAGTTGGACAAAAATACTAAGTCCAAAATGTATTCTAATGTCCTAATAAATGATATATAGAGCGACCAACTTCGCTAATGTATAGGTGGAATAGTAGCTAATGTATAGGTGGAATAATAGCTGGTCTGAAGCATGCATGTTATGATAGTGTAGGGATTTAGTAACAATAATAAAACTTGAGCATTCCATGTAATGATGCAATCTTTATCAAAATCTTTACTCCATGTGGTTGCTCCTTTAACTTAGGCCTAGTACCGCTTTTGACATTTTGCTATTTCTTTCCCTTTTTCTGTCAGGCGTTGGGTGTTAGTTCCAGGGACAATAATTACCGTTACATGGTAGTTTTTCAATATGGATCAGTTGTCTTGTTTAATGTTCCAGAACAAGAATTTGATGGGTACTTGGCGACCGTGAAGAAACATGGTTCTGGATTTCTGTCTGAGACCAGGAAAGATGGTAAGCTCACCTGTATATATCCCAAGTTGGGACTCATTTTTATCAATGATAAAAGGGAAGGAGGGACTTATGTGAAAATCAGATAACCTTTGTAGTTGTGATTGACTATTTGTGAAGATAGAATCAGAGCATGCAATTTAGTAAAAAGTTTTGCACCTTGCCCAATGCCCATTGACAAAACATTTCACGTGTTGTCTCCTTAACTTATAATGATGTTGATGATTTTTTATGACTGCTGGAACCGTTGTCAATTGCTGAAACAATATCTATTCTTGCTTTCCTGCCAGCATTGGCAGAATGAAGTTTATTGGGGTTTCTTCTTACTTGGCAATTTGTGAAAATTTAAAATGCCTTGTCAAGTTGTTCAGTTAGAGCTCCAATTCAAGCTTTGACCATCTACCTTCAACACGTGATCTGAACAGTTGTTCTTGTGTTCACTTAGAATATGAAATACGAGTCAACGAAAATTTAAGCACATGGATGCGGGGAGGATTGGATTACATCCTGTTGCAGGATCTGGAAATTGATGGAATCCGTACCATTGGCAGTGTTCTTGGTCAAAGTATTGCTCTTGATTACTATGTGCGCCAGGTAGGTGAACCGTCAAGTTCCATGGTTCACTGTGTGAATTTCCCCCCTCAATTACGTAGTTAAGCTTCTCCTTTTGCCTATTAGGTTGATGGAATGGTTGCTGAATTTACTGACATCAATCGTGGAATGGAGAAAACGGGGACATTTAAGATGCAACGCAAAAAGCTATTCCAGCTTGTTGGAAAAGCCAATTCTAATCTCGCTGATGTAATTCTTAAGCTTGGACTTTTTGAAAGGTAACTGGGCTTGTTCTTGCATTGGATGAAAAAATATCAATCTGGCTTACGTAGGATCTTATCATCTTCGTTATGTTTGGAGTTTTGCTCATTTTGATTTGATTGTTTTCTCTTTTCTTTCCGTCCAACATATTATTCCGTCCGTGTCAATGAATAGGATACTTTTAATCTGTACAACTGATTATGACATTGCATAAAAGGCAGCTTGTTGCTCCAAAGTTTACTCTTTAATCTTCACTATGGATCACATGAGATGGAAATCATCCACTTACTAGTGAATACTTTAGATCCCCTCTGCTATTCTGTGTTTCCCTTGATAACCTAACTTGTCAGTGTACTGCTATTGAGGGAGAATCATTCCTTTCTCTAGCTAGCTCCGGGATTAAAAATTCAAAACTGCCTTTGTAAAGAGATGATCCTTCTCTTCCTACTCTTCTCTGGTCCTATGCTGTGAGATATTCTCATTGTACTTCTCAACTCTGCCGGCTCCAGATTAGCCATATTTTTTCACCTTTCATATGCTTGTATTGTCCGGCAGATGTCTATCTGTCGCTTTTAGGTGTTCTGAAATGTAATTCTTCTTGTGATCTTTTTTCTTTTGTGGTTTCTTCAGGTCAGATATAGCATGGAAGAATGCCAAGTATGCTCAGATATGGGAATATCTCCGAGATGAATTTGAATTGACTCAGAGATTTGCAAGCCTTGACTTCAAATTGAAGTTTGTTGAGGTATTATCATAATCATAAGGCTATAGCGAAGCAGTAGTACGCTGTGTTCTGTTCCATAGTTTTTATTGACATTCTTTATCTTTTCTTTCTTGCAGCATAATATCCGCTTTCTCCAGGAGATTCTTCAGAATAGGAAGACAGACTTTCTCGAGTGGCTTATCATTGTGCTCATTTCTATCGAAATTCTCCTGTCTGTTTATGATATTGGCCACAGAGCAGGATATCTATGAACACATTGGTTCTCGGAAGGATATAAAAATTCATTTTGCTGACACGTCCCCTCAATTTATATGTATATAGTCAAGGTTTTAATGATAGTGTTAACTTTGAAGAGAGGGAGGCAGAAGAACATCTTTAAATAATTTAGTCTTATGAACAACTTATGCACGCAGTATTCTTTTGATGCAATTCTTTTTTCTGCAAAGTAATCAATTGTCTGAAGTTGTACTGAGTTACAATCCTTTGCTTACGTTCTTTTCTTTTTTGAATGGGAATTTGGCGTAGGGATGTTCCATAAAGTCATGAACTACTCGAAACAGGAACTCATGTCGACTGTCATGTACCGCGTGATTCAAAAGACCGCGCAGTTTTCAGGTCTGGAAGAAAGGAAAGAACTCAATTCTGACATTGCAAGTCACACTGACAATTTGCGCTCCTTTTCCATCATAAAGAAACAAAAGATCATTGATCCGATCATGAATGCAGTCAGCACAGTTTGAAGAAGAAATATCCAATGCACACTGAACCAATCCGAAGACTTTCAGCCCTGATGATTCTTCAAGCTCAGCAACTGCCCTGGCAAACAGTTTCTTCGATGCTGAAGCTTCATCAGAGAGCTGATTCAAAAACTTCCCTATCTCAGCTTTTGATGACAATGAACTGCTTACATCGTACTCACTCCTAATCAGATATCCTGTACTGAAAGGATGTCCAAAGAAGTCGATGTCCGAGTATGTGAGAGAACAATGTTCATACCAAATGTTCCCAGCAATGTTAAACGAGCAACTTCTTTGAATCCCTGCTACTGCTTCAAGAAGACATGTTCTGCAATCTGCAGGGGAAACGCCACCCCGGCAGAGAGCTGAACCGTAAACAGGCTCATTTTCTCCTTCCACTGACACAAATTCGTATCCAGTAGCAGGAGTTTTGAAATAAAGAGTTCGTAAGAGGATTCTCAAGTGTTTGTCATATGGACTGCCGGTGGTAAAGTTTTTGTTAGTGTCGCACCTGTAGAAAGCTGGTTCAACCCCGGCAACCATTGGGACGAATAGAATAGCAAATAGATGAAGAATCAGGCACAGTTTTTTGCCATCCATGATGGGAAATAATCGAATCCTAGAACTTTTGAGGTGAAGTGGGGGAATTCAAACGGTTCGACCCACTAATCATTTTCAAATTGACTTTATAAGAGAAGATATAAAGATTGCGGAAGAACAAATACTGATCATACTATATTCTTCTTGACTCGTTCTGGCTTCTCTCTGCAGGCCAATTGTGTTATCTTGGCTAAATAGCTGTTTTGCGATTGATCACATTTGTTCTTTACGAAGCTCTTCAGGGAACAAGACACCGCCACACCGTATACATAACCTTACCATCCTTTTAACATCGAATAGAGCACAATATGCACATTATTTACTTCTTTCTCTTGTACTTATTATAAGACATTTTGATTTATATTAGATTTTATTTAAAATGTCTTATTAATTAAAAAGTTCATAAAAAATATATTTCCAAATTCATTGTGTTTTTTTTTAATTATTTGAATATATTTTTAAAATTTTTTTATCAATTAGAAAGACATCTTAAGTGAAAGTTAAAAGAAATCAAAACATCTAATAAATAAGAACCAGAGAGAGAGAGAGAGTACTAATGTTGGGAGAAGACAAGTTCAAAGATTATGGTCCAAGACAATAATAACTAAACAAAAGGTACTTGGGAAGAACTGAGGGATCTGCCACTTGGAAGTTTCACTCCTGGCGTTGTTGGTTTCTTCATTCTTCATCATCCCAAATTCATCACAGAAAATTGTAGGTAAAATTGTTTGAATAACTTTTTATTTTCATTTTTATTTTGAGTTTGGGAGAAGATTTAAAATATGGTTTGAGTGAAAATTTTAAAAATTATTTAATAAATATTTTAAATAAAATAATATTATTTATAACCATTATCGGACCACTTTCATCACTGGTAGACCGTAGACCGTAGACCGCTCCTGCTTCCGTCGGTCAATCGTCATCTGACGGCGACTGGCGGTAGTATGTGGCGACTCGGTGATAGTGAAGAATAAAAATTGAGTAAAAATATTATTTAAGATAAATTTTAAAATGTGAACTAAAATATTATATAAATAATACTCCCTCCGTTCCAAAATAAATGTCGTTTTACCAAAATAGAGAAATTTCAAAATAAGTGTCGTTCTCACGTTTCAATGTACTTTTTGTCCAAATCTTCCAAAATTACCTTCAAAAGAATTAGTACTATTGGTGGATTTTTTTTAATGGGGTTAGTTGAGGATATTCAAATAATAAAAATTACTTTATTTAAGAGTTTCTTAAACTAGGTACAAAGTATAGGATGACACTTATTTTGGAATGGAGAGAGTATTTATTTTGTACCGGGATCTGCATTTGTGATGTGAATTAATTTTTTATTTTTATTTTTGTTTTGTTTTAGATGTCTGTCGAAACACCCGTAAAGGTAACCTTCCATTAATCAATACTATCCCAGTGAATATGTTACAGAGTCTTATTTATTCCAAGTAATTCTAAAACTCAAATGTCATCATAAATTAGTGCCGTTTCTACAATGGTACTGTACTCTCCATTTTATTTGTGCGTATATTGTTATTATTATTATTTTTGAAACAGTCTATTGGGACATTGGGTGCAGCACCTCCTGAAGCATTTAAGGTCTGTTTGATCACCATCTAACTCTGAATTTCTCTAAGGATTTCTGGTGCATACTGGCAATCGGATAGTCAAAATAAATGTCGCTTATAAGTGTGTTCATTATATATGCGCAAGAGTTGCATGCGATTCCATGGCTATGTCTGAAAGAAAAGTTGCTTACAAGACAAAAAAAAAAAAAAAAAAGAACAAGAAGAAGAAGAAGAAAAAGGTTCACATTATGTTTATAAATATTGGTTTTTCATTTCGTTCTAAAAGAAGTGTCTTATGCATAACTTTATTTTTAGTTTTAAACAAAAAAAGGAAAAAAGAAAAAAAGAAAGAAACTTTCAGTACAATAATGATCAAGAATTTTATTCCCAATAACGAGTATATATACATTAACTATTGACCAGAGACTACTGAAATACGTGAGGTTGAGTGTCATGGGAGAATTGATTTATAAACACTCGATTCTTCTTTATTAATCGCATTGCATTACGTGAATGTGCAGAAATTTCCATAGTCAAAATTAATAGTCTTAAATTTCCACAATAAATTTTGGTAATTTCAACGAGCAAGTTTAATTTTTTTCTAGCGGTTGTAGCACGTAAGTGTAATTTTTTCTTTACACGTAAACTAAAGAGACAATCATCTAACAATTAATTTATGTGTTAAATATCTATTTTACCCCTCATTAATTGCATTGAACTATTAAAAAAACTAAATAAAAATATATTGGCATCATTATTGGGGGTAAAGTTGAAAATTTAATAATTAATTTACGTAAAATTTATAAAACGACCTAAATTTTGAACAATCTCTCCAAACCTAAAACGACCTACAAATTAAAATAGAGGGAGTATAACTATTCCGAGTTCTTCATGACATCGAGAGTGATTTTTCAAACACAAAAATACATCAATTTAAGTAAGCTATTCAGAATTTCAGATAACAACTAACAATCAACAGTAATTCACGGAATATTTGCTTCATGCATCTTCACCAACTCTTGTTAAGCAATTCTCGGACACCAATCCTCCATTCAAATGTACTAAAGGAGTAAATGATGCGTACGCACCTCATCTATAATTTATACGATTGTATTTTTGTTAATTGGGGAAAAAATTTTTAGCATATTAGGTTTTTCAAATCATAGTACGTAATAAGTAATAGAGTAACATACAATCGAGCTCTAGAGAAGATGTGAAAGATAAATTTGATGAATGAAGAAAGATATTATCGAAAAAGTTCCTTTTTTTTTTTTTTTTTTCTCTCCCTTCATTTTCATCTGCTGGTAAAGTTCCACACATCGGGTCCAAATTAAAAGTCAGTTCAAAACTTCGAAGCAACCATTCTTTTTCGTTCATTTTCCTTTTCTTTTTTTGTTTTTTTTTTCCCCCTTTGGCAGCATTTTTGTAACTTGTGAATTGTGAAATGAACCATGCAGGTCATGCGTCAGTAGGGGCTAAGCTTGCGGCAAATTGCCAAAATAGATACAAAATTGTATTCCAGTTTGTAGGGCCAATCATTTTTTTTAATTTTTTTTTTGGAGTACTTTACCATTTCAAAAATTTCTCATAAATTGGATGGTTGGTATAGATACATAAGGTTGCTTATTGTCTTACTAAAGGTAATAATATAGGTATCAGTAGTGTGAAATGAAATAACAAGTACGTTATTAGTTGAATCAAATGACAGTATAGTGGTTAATTTGATGTCCTTTCAGGTAATAGATCAGGGTTCGATTCCCACCAGAGATTATTAGGGGAGTTTTAGTGACATTTAAATAGGGTCCACTGAGATGGATTTTAAAAAAAAAGTACTTTATTAGTTATTACAAAAAAAAATCGGGAAAAAATGAAATCCAAAACATAATGCATCTTATACATTAAAAAAGGACGGAGTCCTAACTCATCAAAAGTTTACGTGATCTATACACTTGCAAAACCCATCAGGGAGAAATTAAGCCGGATCAGGTCTTGGTATAAGACGACTGAAAACCGGGCCGAACATCTGGCCAAGAAAGAACGAACTGGAGACTTGCATAGAAGGCGAATCTTAATGGCATCTAAAGAAACAATGTCGGATTATAAACGTCGTCGCAAGATCCTCAGGGAGATTACATTTATATTCCCTTTTAAAATAAAATAATTGTTATGTTTAGATTTTCATTTTCAATGTAATTGTATTAAAAATAATGATTTAAACTAGACAATTGTTTAGGGCGAAAAAATAATTAATCGCAAACCACCTCATAGCTTGCTTACATACATATATATTACATGTAATCACTAGCTATAGTTACCATTTTGAAGCAAGAATTATCAATATTAAGATTACAAATGCAAAATATAATCTTTTTAATGGGAAAAATAAAGAAATTTGTATTATTATTATTATTGTTGTTGTTGTTGTTACTACTACGGGACCAAGTTTGGATAAGAAGGTTACACTTGGATACTTTTTGGCATCTAGTTACGTTATCTTTAGTACATTATTAGTATATGAGTTCAGCAGCCATATCACAATTTCTTATTTTTTTTTTCTTTTACCAAGTAGATTGCACATGACTTTTGGAATAGTGGAATTTTGTTGACATTTCTTCACAGTGTATTATTATTACAATCCATGCATAAGGTATAGTTGGCCTTGTTAAGCAACTTATCCACGTATTTTCAGTAATAATTTTCCACATTCCAATCTTGATATAAGAAAATTTGCAGTCTAGCCCAGTCAATCTGAAAATTATTATTCTACAGTTTTAACTTTCTTACAAGATTATATGTTTTCCTTTTCTTTTTCCTCACATTTTGAATGTGCCAAAGAACTTGGAATCGAACTCTATAAATACCATAGCCTCATCCTCATCAATATCTCAAGTATTATACAACAATCTCATCAAATCATCTCTATAAGCTTTCTTACCCTCGCTTGCTAATTTTATCTCATAATAACCATTTCCAGCTAGCTCTCCTTCCTTATCCAATTTTCTTGTCAACATGGGAAGTATTGCCAATGCCAAAGCTAATTTGCATATTCCAGCTCAAGGAAAACTCATCACCATTCTTAGTATCGATGGTGGTGGGATTAGAGGAATCATCCCCGGTGTAATCCTAGGGTTTCTTGAGAGCGAACTTCAGGTACTATACCAAACATAACAATTATGAGGAGTTCATTTTATAAGTGGAATATTATCGGGGTTTTTTAAAATCTTATGCATATTATTTTCTTTTTGTTTTTTTTCAAATGTCAATTAACTACGTATATCTTTTTCATGCAGAAATTGGATGGTGAAAATGCAAGACTTGCGGACTACTTCGATGTGATCACCGGAACTAGTACCGGCGGCCTTGTGACCGCCATGCTAACGGCACCAAATGAGAAGAACCGCCCTCTTTATGCCGCCAAAGACATCACGGACTTCTATCTTGAACACTGCCCTAAGATCTTCCCCCAAGAGAAGTAATTAATAATTTTATTAATTAATTAAACCCTCATTGATTACTCAACTCAAATATCAACTGATTACTAATTTGATCATTGATGACGAACAGCAATATATTAGGTCAAGCTCAAGAACAGCTCAAGGTAATAGCAGGACCTAAATATGATGGCAAATACCTCCATAATCTGCTGAGGGAAAAGGTTGGGAAGATCAAGTTGCACCAAACGTTGACTAATGTCGTCATCCCGACTTTCGACATCAAGCTGCTCCAACCCACCATCTTTTCCAGCTTCT